TTCCAACTCAAGCCATTCCATGACACAAAGGGGGCCCACGGGACACCTGCAGCGGGAACCATAAACATGGACTGCAACGGCAGGACAGGGGGCAATGACTTTCAACTGAGAGAGAGAGAGAGAGAGAGAGAGAGAGAGAGAGAGGAGGTTCAGACTAGACATCAGCAAGAGGCTTCGTCCTCTCAGGGGGGTGGGGCACAGGAAAAGGTCACCCACAGAAACTGAGGATGCCCCAACACTCGAAGCCTCTAACATGCTCTCAGGCTGGAGGGCGCTTTGGGCAACCCACTCTAGCGCAAGGCAGCCCTACTCACGGAAAGAGGGTTGCATTGAAGCGGATGCTACTTGAGGTTCCCTTCCAACCCAAACCACCCTCTCATTCTATCATCTCCTCAAGCCTCCGTCTGCAACCACCTTCGCCCCCATGATGCCACCTTCTCTCGCATCAGCCTCCAGCTTCTCCGGGACATGCTGTAGAAAATCAAGGCCTTTCTCTGGATGTGCTCTGCTGTTAGTGCACTCTAGTCCAGGGCAGTGCTTATAACTCCTGCAGTATGGCCTCCATTGGCATGCTTTTTCAGATACCTTTATTCTTCCTTAAGATCTACACATAGTGAGCCACTGTTTGTACTCTTTGTACCCTTCAGCACCTCTTCTAATTCTTCAGCTGTCCCAACAATCCAGCCCAGTGTAGTTTCAATCCATTTCAAGAACTTCTCATCCACACTGATTATTTCTTTCATCACCTCAAGCAATGCTTGACTGATAACCTGCTCCCAGACTCGTTGCCCCTGCCTCCTTCACTTCGGTATCAACAATTATTTCAGATATATCCAGAATTTCCTCCTGCACAACTTCTACAGTGCTTGCACCTGGGACCATGTTTGTCTATATGCTCGTGCCTGCTTTTAACGCATGGATATACTGCCATGTGAGACGAAACGTTTTGCTCCTCACTGAGCCTCGTCCAAACATCTCAATATCGAATGACCATCCTCATTCCACAGCAATGGCCACTCAGGGAGAGAAACCAGCTACAGCTTGGGCTGGGTCAGCCCAGTACTGCTCGCTCAGCCTTACTCGAGCCAAGGGCCACAGCTAAAGGGAGACAGGCATGACTGAGCCCAACCCCTTGGCACCATGTCAAGGGCTGAGCCTGGCTATGGCATAGCCCATTCTGCCACCATTCCTGGCCCACACCACAGCCCGAACTTGTTTGGAATGGAAGGAGGAAGTCTTTGCCTTGAAAGACAGTGAGGAGATCGATTGATGGCAATGGGAAGAGGAGGAGCAGTTATTAACTGCATTAATATGTAAGGGCATATAAGTGCATTATGGAGGCTGTCTGTAGTGCCCCTCATGGAGGGGGAAGGTCCCAGTGGACTACGTATGACTCATGCAGGTCAACATGTATTTATCACATTATTTATTTATTTATTATTTAATTTATTTGTATTTATTTGTTCCTTTGTTTATTCACTTTTTTTTTTTTTTTCCAGAAATAAAGTCTATGTTAAAAAGAAAGACGAGGAGAGGCACTTATCCTGCACATATGCCACAAGGCAGGTTTTTTTTCAGGCAGGCCTCTTGCTGTATGCACACTTAAGGGTCCTTTATTCACCAGCACCTCTGAACTGCCCAGCACTATCACGGACCATGGGGTTGCCATGGTCTGGCACACCTCTTCAGTCACCAAGCCCAAGGGCATCTCCCACGTACGCTAGATCCTGGCAGTGCAAGTCCACTGTAGTAATATGTTTTCCCCATGAACTCTGCTTCTGCCAGCACTCAACCACTCTCACCACTCCTCTCTCACTACCAAGGTGTGAAAGCCACCTTCAACACCCTCTGAAACCATCAGTCTAGTACTGCCAGCTTCTCAGCAACATCCTGGGGCTGCTTGGGGCTTACCAGGGATGCATGGACAAAAAGCATATAAAAAGAAAGGGGGGGGATCAACCGTAGCCTGTCAAGATTCAACAAAGAGCTGCACACTGATGCTAATAACTCCATGCAGGAAGCAGTGAAAAATAATGAAAAAAAATAAAGATCCCCAGGGCCTACCCATTGCTCACCTACCACCACCACTACTTTGAACTTCTACATCCCAACAGACCCTTCAAAAGAGCAACATCCTCTGTACAGCACTACCCAAGACACCCTAACCCAGCCAGCTCACACGGACACAGAGTACCACACAAAGTTAACTGACCACAAATCATCTCACTGGCTTCTTCTTCACCCTTTGACCATCACCACAAAAAACACTTCCTTCAGGTACTATGCCCACCACAAGAAACCCAGAATGAGACAACACCGAGACCCAATAACTCTGGCCTCCTGAAAAAGTCCAAGAGGCTGTTCCCTGTGCTCAAACCACCTCCATGTCACCACTGTGAAGACAATGCTCTGTGCTAAAGCAAGACACACCCCTTACAGTTAGGAAGTGAGGAAACAAGTTGGATCTCAGCAACTACAGGAAAGCACAAACAAGTTTTTAGAATGTGCAGGGAGAAAATTAAAAAGGCAAAGCCCAACTTGACCACTGCAGTAAAAGAGAACAAAAAAAAAAAAATTATTTTTTTTTTTTTACAAATATACTAACAGTAAGAGGAGGGGTAAGGAGAATCTCCATCCTTTACAGGACACAGTAGGGAACGTTACCACTGAGGATAAAGAAAAGGCTGAGGTTCTCAATGTCTTCTTTGCATCTGTCTTTCAAAGTCAGACCAGTTATCCTTGGGGTACTCTATCTTCTTACCTGAAAATATTGGATGGAGAGCAGAAAAAACTCTTGATGATTCAGGTGGAAAGAGACGTACTACTCCACTTGGACTGACACAAGTCCATGGGGATGGACTGAATCCACTTTAGGGTGCTGAGGGAGCTGGAGGAAGTGATTGCCAAGCCACTCACCACCATCTGTCAGCGTTCCTTGTCAACTGGAGAGGTCCTATAGAATTGGAGGCTTGCCATTGTGACTCCCATCTGCAAGAAGGGTCTTAAAGATCTGAGGAACTACAGGCCTGTCAGCCTGACCTCAGTGCCAGGAAAGGTTATGGAGCAGATCATCTCGAGGGAGATCACACAGCATGTGTAGGATAACCAGAAGATCAGGCTCAGCCAGCATGGGTTCATGAAAAGCAGATCGTGCTTGACCGACATGATCTCATTCTGTGATCAAGTGACCCACCTGGTGAATGAGAGGAAGACTACTGATGATGTAGTCTACCTAGACTTCAGCAAAGCCTTTGACATCGTCTCTCACAGTATTCTCCTGGGGAGGCTAGCAGCCCATGGCTTGGACAGGTACACTCTCCGCTGGGTAAAAAACTGGCTGGATGGCCATGAGTGATGCTCCCCAGGGGTCAGTACTGGGGCCATTCCTATTCAATATCTTTACTAATGACTTGGAAAAAGGCACTGAGTGCACCCTCAGTTTGGATATTACACCAGGTTGGCTGGAAGCATTGATTTGCCTGGGTATAGGAAGGCCCTACAGAGCAATCTGGACAGACAGGATAGTTGGGCTGAATCCAATGTGATGAAGTTCAACAAGGCCAAGTACTGGGTCCTGCACTTCGGCCACAACAACCCCAGGCAATGCTACAGGCTTGGAGCAGAGTGACTGGAAGGCTGTGTAGAGGAAACACATCTGGGGTATTGGTCAACACTCAGATGAACATTAGCCAGCAGTGTGCCCAGGAGGCCAAGAAGGCCAATGGCATCCAGGCTTGTATCAGAATTAGTGTCATCAGCAGGAGCAGGGAAGTGATCATCTCCTGTACACAGCCCTGGTGAGGCCACCTCTTGAGCACTGTGTTCAGTTATGGGCACCTCGCTACAAAAAAAAGTCATCAAGACCCTGGAGCATGTTCAGAGAAAGGCAGTAAAGCTGGTAAGAGGTCTGGAGCACGAGTCTTATGAGAAGCAGCTGAGGGAGCTGGCCTTGTTCAGTCTGGAGAAGAGGAGGCTCAGGAGTGACTATCACTCTCTATATCTACTTGATGGAAAGCTGTGGTGAGGTGGAGGTTGGCCTCTTGCCCCCCGTGTAACTAGTGACAGGATTAGAGGGAATGGTCTCAAATTGCACCAGGGGAGAGATTCAGGATGGACAATAGGAAATACTTCTCTGAGAAAGTGGTCAGGTGCTGGAATGAGTATGCCCAGGGAGGTGGTGGACTCACAATCCCTGGAGGTTTTCAGGAAGTGTTTAGATGTTGTACTGGGGGATGTGGTTTAGTGGGAAACATTGGTGATGGGTGGATGGTTGGATTGCATGACCTTGGAGGTCTTTTCCAACCCTGGTGATTCTATGATTCTAATACACTCAGCATCACAGCATGAGGCAGCGCTCAGAGATGTGGATGTCCCATTCCTGGAGACATTCAAGGTCAGGTTGGACCAGGCTCGGAGCAATCTGGTCTAGCTGCAGATGTCCCTGGTTCTCCCTGCGGGGGCAATGGTTTAGAAGACCTTTAAAGGTCTCATCCAACTCAAACTATTCTGTGATTCCACACACCTAGGACCTCACTGATTCCCTTTTCTGAGGTAGATGAAGAGACCCATACCTCCTCAGAAGATAACAGCAGAAGACGAAAGAAACGCAGAATATTCTAACTTGAATTTCAAATTTTCTAAACTTTTGATAAACTAAAGTGATAAAATTATTGAATTTACCAAGAATACAATTCAACACCCAAGGAGGGATTGGGAAGGTTGAGGGATGTCCATTCTTGCGGACAGACAAAAGTGTCACTTAACAAGGTGTTCAGAAAACTCTGGCAAAACTACCCTTCATACCAGATTGCAATGAGAACTCTCAGAAAAGAGCTCTTTCACAATATAACACTGCAAAAATTTCAAAACATGAAAAGCTGCTCTGACTCATTAAAAACACAGAAATAGAGAAACACAGAAGTTCCAGTACTATCAGACAACTACAAAGCAAACATTCAATTCACACTGCAAGAAAACAAAAAAAACTGAGAACATAAAGTTGTTCACAACAAAACTTTGCTTTTTTTCCCCCCCCTTCAACACAGCACATGAAGACAATGACATTTGCATGGCTCTACAGCTATCAAGGCACAAGAGCTCAGAGAAGATTTCCATTCACGTATCTTTAGAGTTCAAAGAAAGAAAAGGGAAGAGTAAATATCAAGAAATCTCCATCAGTCAAAATATTAAAAAAGAAACAAAAAAGCCAACTTGTTTAAAGATCAGTTGAATAGGAGAGCTCCGAATTGATGAGAAATGTATCAAACCCAAATTGTTAAAAATGTAATAAGAAATGATGCACTGATATAGAAGCATGACAAAAATTGAATACGCAAAACTTACAAACATTATTACATAACATCAAAAAAGACACTTGAGCAGGACTGGAAATCTCAGTGGAAGAAGAAAAACACCAGAACTTTCAGAGGAAGCAAAAAACTAAACAACACATCCACAGCACAGATGCAACAAAAGCCGATAACAAAGCCCCAATCCCACAAACGCACTTCCTTGCAAACCACATGAAACCAACAGCCAAAAACGAAAACCACAGACAGAAACTCTTGGCAACAGGAAAGCGAGGAAGGGAAAGATGACACGCCACATAAAGCTGGCACCGCAATACCACTGCCACCACCCAGCCCCACCAGGCTCCTGCCCAGCACAACGCCAGTCCCACCATGGCTGCGCCTGCACGCCCACAGCACCCGCGGGGGTACGGCATCCTGCTGCTCACTCTTCTTATGAAAGCACTCGCCGCCAGCGCCTCCGTCTGCAACCACCTTCGCCCCCAGGATGCCACCTTCTCTCGCGACAGCCTCCAGCTTCTCCGGGACATGGATCCCAGCCCACCCCAGCCGTGCCCGCAGCACAACGCGCCATGCTCCTTCAACGACACCATCCTGGACACCAACAACACCCGGCAAGCCGACAAAACCACCCACGACATCCTCCAGCACCTCTTCAAAATACTCAGCGGCCCCAGCACGCCAGCCCACTGGATCGACAGCCAACGCCAAAGCCTCCTCAACCAGATCCAGCGGTACGCCCACCACCTCGAGCAATGCTTGGCGGACAGCGGCACGCGCTCCCGGACACGGTGGCCTCGCAACCTTCACCTCACCATCAACAAACACTTCAGCTGCCTCCACGCCTTCCTCCACGACAATGATTACAGCGCCTGCGCCTGGGACCACGTCCGCCTACGAGCTCGTGCCTGGTTCCTGCACATCCATGACCTCGTGGGCAACACGTGCACCTAGCCCCAAGCGCACCTCCCACCCTCCTCCTATTTATCTATTTATTCAACTATTTATGCAATTATTTATCTATTTATTTAACTTAACATTGGACTAAAGTACACTTTTTGTAAAAATAAATAAACAAACTAATGCTTTTAGCTCTTCTTTTGCTCAATCACAAGTACCTTTTAGGGGCAACCTACACAAGGCCACTTTACTAATAATCAAGAGCCAAAAGTGAAAACTACAAACAGATACTCAGTTCAAGCCTCACCACACACTACCTACACCCCACACCTTTACCACAACATCCGTAATCTGACACAGCCATACACCAACAGCAGTTCCACTAACATGAGCTTACCCAAACTCTCCCCTTTACTCATCACACAGAAACACTGCTAAGAGCTGCCAAAAACCTTTTGGCCATAGCTACTCATCACCTTATTATTTAACTGAATCTATTTGCTTGCATCATATTTTTCTTCTGTTAGGTATTTATAGGATGTAAATAAAAAAACCTTTTTTAAGACATTTGCCAGTAGTTTTTCTATGAGAATCAATAAAGCATCACTGGAGGGAATAAACCTCCATATGTCGTGTACTCACCCACCCACTCACCCACCTCCACAATGCCTCAGGAGATCCCCAGATTCTTGTCTGTGCACAGGCTCCTGCAAGGATGGACATTCTTCCATACGTTTAAGGCCAATCCTCATCTCCTGTCTGCCATTAACTTGCTAAGAATATGCCAAGGCACTGGGTAGGTCTGCCAAAGATTCTGCACATCCACTGAGTATTCATCCCTATCTTCTTACTTTGTTAACTATTGTGCATATAAATTAGGACATTTTTCCTAAAATGTTTGGACATTCATTTTATTCAAGTCACATGTTTAACAGGCGTAGCAGTGAAATGCTCAGGCAAGTGTGCCTTCATACATTCCCAGCACAAGTCTTATTCTCTGCATCAAGCCAACGCTTGCAGCCAGGAGCAGCTTAGTTTGTACTACGTAAGTGCTGTCCTGACTCAAAAGGAGCCTCAGAGATGAGCTCTCACAGCTGTGACATATGTAGTTCCATTGCTTATCAACAAAGCAATCCCAAAAAGATAAGAACAGTCTCTTTCTGAACACACAAACTTGAGATTTGGCCAGCCTGAAGATTGAAAAAATCATTCAGAAGTTACAGCAGCCTATCCAGCAACCACATTTACTCCCTGATGCTCAATTTGTTTAACTCCTTTAGCACTTGTCAAGAACTGAAGCTTGAAGTACCAGTTCCCATCTTCATGGGAAGATACTCCTTTAACTGTATCTTCTGCCTTTTATAGGTGAAAGTAAGCTACACCATCTTTCTGACACAAATGGAAAAGTAAAGATGAAGCAGGACACAAGCATGCTCCCTCCTACCAGCAACAGCAGCCAGAGGCTCAGATATGGGCTTGCAGCAGCATACATCTTTGCATTACAGTAGCACCAGGTGCCCACACTGACCACAATCTTGCGAAGTCCACAGCTCTTGCACCTCCTGCTGACCTGTTCTGTGCACACTGCTGAGCTCAGGCCACAGTTAGTGTTTGCTCTCGTCTCACATTTTTTACCCGCAGTGTGCCAGAGTAATCCTTCTCACATTTCCAAGACTTTTTGTTCACTGTCTTACATGAACTCAAGTCACCACATACATGTCACTGCAGTTCTCTTTTGTGAAGAGAGCATCTGTTTTAGAATCATAAACCTACTTCTAGCATGTTCTGCAGCACAACTTTCATTATTGGTAGTTTTTTTTTTTTTAATTATTTTTATCCAAGCATGTTCTTGCTTGTGCCTGCTGCCCATTTCTTTACCTCACATTCATCAATTTTTTTTTTAAACTTCCACAGGGTTGTCCGTGCTTTAATACTACTGCTCTTATTACCCTATTTCATTGCAGGATCTCTCATTTAATACCTCCCATCTCACTCTCCATGACATATTTGCTCCATTTTCCTAGCTATCTTGCAACTTCTTTCCAGAACTGGTATCAGGTTGCCACGTTTTCATTTAGCTAGGTCTTTCCCTTTATCTCAACATGGAGTTATTCACTCACTCTGCAACTTTCCCAAGTTTCAAAAAACTTTTACTAGAAAATAAAAATGGTTTTCAGAAACCATCACTAATCTCCTAATCACTGAATGTCAGTTACATCAGACTTCAATTTAAAATCTTCCACTGAGCAACTTCCCAATAACAAAACAGTCAGTTTTCCACTATAGTTCTGTGACAACTATGAAGCTTCTTTTGAAGCTAAATATTAGTATTTTTTCCATGGCTTTTTCCCATTACAGGAAATATTCACCCTTTTTAACATTACCTGTTTCTTCTGTTTTTGGCTTCACTTGTCTTCTTCTGGCAATACATTTTTCTTCCAGCATATCATTATCAGTTACTATCCACATTTTTTTTCCCTTCCATCTCAATTCAGCTGTCAGACTAGATTTTTTGAAACTGTTTACTTCTCAACCGCTTTCTGTCTTTCTTTTCTCTTAACCACAGCACTACCCTGTGTGCCTACCCTTCCTTTGATTTTCAGTATTTTTCTGGGACATCCTTGTACTCCAATTGGCTAACCTCCAGATTCCACATGGAAGACCTGGTACTTTCTTGAACTTGGCCAAAACATTTACCTAGTAATACCTCTCCTCTTCAGATCACTGCTTATTACAATGCACTGCTAATTTTTTGCCTTTATGCATATAGTGCACTGCTTTATCCTTTTACTTTTCTGAGTTACATGCTACCATCCTCACTTCAGTTTTCAGGGTGACGGGCAACAACTCTTCACCTTTTTACATTCTAGGTTAAGGATCCTTATGAGTCTAACTGTCTGGAATCTGAGTTTCACCCATATGTCCTGTATATTCTGGATTCATCTAGAACAAACTTTTCCATACCTTCCCCCTTGCTGCTCATGGGTTTGTTGCCATTGTGCGTACTGCAAATATGCCAGACTCTAATAGTCTTCACAATCTTTAACATGCACACAATGCTCATCAACATGTATACTACACCATTACAGATGTTTATTTGTTTACTATGCCACCCCTTGCTAGGAGACGTTCATACTCAGATTTCAATTAGAACTGATAAGATTTTATACTGTTGCTTCAACACAGATAAAAGAATTCTAGTCAAAGCACAGAATATGCTTCTATATTCCATATGCAGATGGACAAATTGAACAATCCTTTATATCAGTCTACAACATCAAGTAAAATCATTTCTGGATATTAAAAAAGCAGAACATGAAACATACGGATAAGCTCTTGATCACCGTTATATGATGCAATTTGTATTGTACATACTCTGTACTCTGTGTGGTACAGATGATCAACTCTAAAGGTCATTTGTTTATAATGAAACAAACTCAAACTATTTACTTACCATTGGCAGCCTGGACTGAAGCATCTGGAGATCATCATAACCATAAATCTGCTTGAAGACAGATAAAAACACAACATCATTATAACACTTTTTTCTGACATTGATAAATTCAGGGCTTTAAACAGTTTGATCTAGATTCAGCTTCAGTTAAGGTGTAGGGCTATATGTTGCATTGTGCCTTGACAGAGCACCATAGAACTTCCAGGCAAATAGAGTTAAGTAGAGACTGAAATGTTTTGTCACTCTAATGTAGCTCAGCCACGTCCATACAAACAATTCTGAAATTTTCTATTAATATCAGTGAACACCAATAAATATATTTCATATTTCTTCAACATTTAGAGCAAGAATTCCAGATGCAATATGCATCAATTCAAATGCCTTGGCATAGACAGCAGCAGGTCTGGAGGGCCCACTTGCACAAAGGTTTAAGGACAAGTACAGTTAAATTGCTTACTGGGTAGGCAGGTAGAAGTCCTCCAGGTCCCACAATATACTGGTTATGCAACAAGGGTGGTACACCCTGGGGCAGGTTGGGGGGAGCTTTGCCTGTAGAACCAAAATACAGACACTTAAAGAAGACCTTCAGAAAACAAAAGGCTTCAACACTGAAACAAGATAGCTTGCAAGTCCTGAAGCTGCACTAGCATAGCTTTTAAAGAGCAGAACAACACAGAAGATAATGCCACTTTATGAAATTGCCTCACATCCACACACCAAGGAAGGAAAAGCACAAACCACTTTAGACTGAAAACAATCCCATCAGAGAACAGTCCAATTTTGTCATTTAGTTAGGCAGAACTACAGGAAAGAAGTTCCTGCAATCCTTAAGGTCTCTCCTGAAGGTAAGAATTTAGGCAATGTTCTCAATCTGAAAATAAATTCTTTCATTTTCTGCTGTCAGTACATTCCCCTTTGCTGCCAGCAATGGACTGGTAAGCATTAAATGCTGCCAGTGTACCTTTTGTGAGGGACTTGTAGCAGCTGAGAAAAGCAAAGAGAAGACTGAGACAGTTTCAGTTGTCTCCGTGAAGCAGAGGGTAAAAGAAGGCACTTTAGTCAGTCAGATACTCCATTTACAGCGGGAATGGGAAATGAGAAATTCTCATGTATAATTTTGATTTTAATACTTGAATCGTTCACTTCCCTTCACAGAATTTCCTTTTAGCAAGTTAAGTTGATCACAGAAGCAACAGAGACATTTAGTACTGCTTCTACTTAAGTACAAGAAGCCTCCCCAGCTTCTCTGTCAGTAGACTTTTTTCAATATGGTTACTGCTGTAGAAAAACCCAGACATCCATCAGATACTTCTTTCCTCTGTATGTGTGGCAGTAGGGTTGTGACATAAGATAATCAATCCAGTACAGTGTATTTTGATACTGTCTAATGAATTCAAGTCACAGAGAATTTTGAAATAAAAGCTAATGTGAACTCACAGTCAAGAGCTAATTACAGGTAAATCTAGTTCAAAACTGCAAGTCAGTATTGCTCATGTCTATTTATAAAGCTCTCTGAGGATAGAATGTACTATATAAATGCCACATCACACCCTAAGAAATTTCAAATACACAAAAGCAAGCAACTTTATTTTATACGTCAGCAAATAAAGCATGCTGAAAATGCAAGTCAAAGAGTGTGGATTTCTTAGCATAGTAGTTATTGCTGGTGAGATGCTCGACTGACAGCCCTGCAGAATGAAGTCTTCTGTCTATCCATGTGATCTGTTAACACTGCGAACCTGAAGACACTAAAGGAGCTGCCCGTGTGGTAGCAGCTGGTATAGACACACTGGTAACGCTCAGGCCAAGGCTGTTTGTAGTGTTCATACTGCTTGCCATGCTGACAACTGATGATGTGGTGCTAGTGGCTGAGGTTGAAGCAGCTGAAAAGGTTGTTGAGGGCTGGAGCGAAGTTGTGTTCTCAACACTAGTGTGCTAGAAAGAAGACAAAAAGGATGAGGATCACAGAGCAAATAAACCACAGTGAAAGATGTTGAGGGAAAAAAACAACCATCTTTTAAGTAATATTAGCACGTGCAAGAGAATGTTTAATAGTAAATGCACTAACTACATACCAAGCAAGCAACTAAGTTGCAAGCTTGTGATTTTTAAATATCATAGAAATTTACTACATGAAAATTAAATTCAAACAGCTATAAAATCAGAAAATCCTATCATAGAATTTCAAATGTCTGTCCATTACATTATTTCTTGCCATTGAGCTGCCTAATCATTTAAGCTAGATCTTCTATTAAATAAGCTCTTATACTCTTTTAAAAGATGGCATTTGTTTTCAGAATTCAGTACAAAGCTCTTGGGATTTCCACAATGCACTTGTGCAATTGGAAAGATTAAAGTTGCAACACCCTACAACAGACTCAATGCGGCAAACAGACTAGGTATATTACACGAACACCTGACTGTAAGGGAGTTTGTGGCTTGAACCCAGCATAATACAGTGTCTTAACTGTAAAAGCTGGCCACACTTGCAAAATACAGCATCGGTATCATCACCACCACACAGAAGCTGTAACAACTCATGCACACGTCCTTCCTTTCTGTTGTACGAATTTTCAAGTTATGCATTCACTCAGGATGAAGAACACAAACTAAAACACGCACAGAGAAAAAACATACCTTAACTGGAATAGTACAGAAGTGCTCCATCACAGAGCATGGCAGTCTGACTTATGTTCGTGCAACCTCCTTTACAGTAATGTGTTCAATAACATATGCCTTTTCACAAAAATATTACATACTTACATGACAACAATGCCATGTGATAAACTCTAATACCATCTGTCACAAGGCATTGTCATGATATATACCACTCCATCACTTGCATTTTTCCAGTTAATTTTTTTGGTGGAGATTGCTAGTACTCCACTTTTCGGAGCAGTTTCAAACAGCCACTTTTAAAGGTTATTTTTAATATACTTATTGTACAAGTTCTCTCATTATTCCACTCCCCCTTCCTGGCAAAAAAAAATATTCTCTACAGCTGTGCAATTGGAAAGCTTCTAACAATTACTCTCAGTCATGTACAAATCACAAGTGGTAATGACAACCTTTTCACCACTAGAGGGCTAGCAGTCCTCCCAGCCTGAGATAAACCTCAGCTCTGAGCATACCGGGACACAACAAACTTTTTCTGATAATTAAGAGCCTCTTGAAGTGACTATATGCTAAATATCTATTAAATGCTAACAGGACTTACTGCATGTGATGTGCCTGAAGATAACACTGAGGCAGGGGAGAGGCTAGTTTGATGACTGGAAAGTGAGCTAGAAAGAAATTGCAAAGAATTAGTACAATGAATTTTTTTTAGAACAACTTACATATGCACCTCTGTGTATACATTCATATACACATCCCTACAAGCAACTTCTTTAGCCAATATCAAACTACCTAGTGCTTAAAAGAAGCTTGTACAATGATTCAGAATAAATTACACATCCTGACTAAACAGCAAATGCTTATGTCAGTTCTTCAGGGCAATGGACCACAATAACCTTGGCAGTTTCACAGACTAGTTTTGCTTTAACTATTTTAAACTGTTCTCTGTTGCAGAAAATAGGATGACACGCCATTTTAGGCAGCAAGAAATGGTTCAGTCCAGCACAGAGTTTTGAACTATTTCCTTGCCCACTTTCCCTTTCTTGTAAGAATCCCCAATCCATCACCCGACCTACAGCAGTGACTCAGACAAGTTGCAGCACAACCAAGCTAGACATACTTGGAATTCAGGCATCATCCTTTTATGGCACTCAGCGTTTGCTCAACTGTTAACAACCCTCCAACTAAAATTCCTACTAACATACGCAGCTTTTCAATAAGTGTAGGGGTGTGGGTTGTTCGTGTTTTTTTCTAATTTTGGTGAAATAATTCTAACTGGCTGACACTTATACCATTTTATTTAATATCCATTAAAAGCAAAAAAACAAAACACCCACAATACTGCAAAAGAGAACCCACCACACCCCATTTGGCCTCCATATGGTTATAAACTATGTTATCCCAACAAGTTAGTTTACAACAGCAAATAAAGCACGAATGAGAGCAATACAAACATGACAAATCAGTATAGCTCCAGGATGTCGCCTGCCTGAGGAAATAGCTCAAGTAACAGGGACAAAAAAAATATCAGAGGGTGTGAAAGAGCAGTGCTGCATACACTCCAAGGAACACCAATCTCATATCTCAAATGTCCTAAGGAATTGACTTACTATGTGGTGTTTTGTTGTAATTTTTCTGTCTCTATGGAATTATTTTAATTTAGAAAATTAATGAACTCTTAAAGGGATCATTTCACACATAAAGTCAAGCATAAAGCAGACACTGTGGACAAAGTAGGAAAAGCAAAGTGGAAAAATCAATTCCACTAATTTAGGTTGTGATACTAAAGCAAGAGCCCACTGAAACATAGACATGCTAAAAAGACATGAAAATTTGATGGCAGTGCTGTTCTATCATTAACAGGCAGCCCATATTGCCTACTCTGCAAGCAAAAAAATCTTTGTCTCTTCTGAATTTGTCTCCAAATGATAATTCATGATAGAAAAGGGGACCTCACTGTCTGACAGCTCCTATATGCAATCACCCTTATATACACCTCTTCCCCAGAACTTTTCTTCCCTTCACAGTTTACCACAACTTCCACTGTACCTGCTTAGCTGGGAGAGGGAGCTGCTGGCCAAGTCGTTGGACTGAGGCAAGCTGGGCAACGTTGCCACATGCTGTGATGCTGAAGGCAGAAGCGAAGTGGTAGTGGATACCACGCTAGGCAGCGAACCAGCAGAAGGTAGTGAGGGAGAAGGCTCTGTCTTAGACACTGAAACTGATGAAGTAGCTGCAATGAGTTGAAAAGAGACATTCAAAGACAAATTCCAACATATCTGACTCCCAAGCTGAGTTCAGAAACACAATATGTAAATATTTTACCTTTGTTTTACAGAAATCTGACTGATAGGAGCCAGGGTCAGTATTAAATCATCTGGCTACTATGGAATGAAGGAATGACAACACTGTGATCAGTTTCTCTCTTTAAGCTCCAGAATACATTTCTGATTTTCACCAATATATATGTTGTAAACTCCAGTCTTCAGTTATCTCCCACTATCTATACACTTGCTTTTGCTCAGAAGTTCATCCTCACTTCAAAATTCTTAGCATTAAAGTTCAATCCCTTCCATAAAGAAAAGTTGCCTGCACTCTTTTAGGTACTACAAAAATCTACTCTGATCTACAGATACAGTTCTTCAGTTCAACCTGAAGAGCACTTTTGATGTTTGGGATTTAGATTGCTTGAGAATAAAGGCACAAATAACTAACCTGGTGTACTGATCCAAATGTGCATTGTAGTAAAATAAAAGAAGCTATAATAAAATGTTAAAGCTGACCGAAACGTTATGCACAAACAGTTGTCAAATATTGTCTTACTTTATTTAATCTAGATAACAGGTGGTTAGCATTTCTAGCCTATACACAGTAGAACCTGTTTACCACAAATGTGTATTTACCATTCCTATCACAATTCCCAGCTCTTTCTCTTGTCCTCTGAAGAAGGATAATGCACAGAATTAGCCAGTCATCCACCAAAAAAAGTCTCAGAAATAGTTAAGACCCACTTTGTATGAGCCCTGCCGTGACCATACCCTCACACACCACCAGAGGCCACTACCAAGTGGATCACTGCTATTTCACAAAGCTTTTGAAGTCGCACAGTCTTAGAACACTCTCCGAAAGTCTGAAAACAGTTATAAGTATTATTGTTGATACTGGTTTTCCCCTGAACGACCCAAGTTTGTTTGTGGACTGGGTGCTTTGGAAGTAAGAGGTCTTGATCTTGGCAATAAGCACAATGATAGTTGACAAGAAGGAAATTCGAGTGACAAAAAAAAAAAAAAAAACACAGGTGAGGACACACAACAGTATTACCTGATAGCTCCTGACAACATTCATTTAAAAAGCAGTAAACACTACTTAAAACTAATACATTTGTGCCAGGATTCACTTCTTGAAATCAAAGTAGATCTCTCCAGTATGAGGGAAAATATCACCATCTTTATTAAGACCTTTTAAATTATGCCTGAACACGATGTACAAGGAAACAAGACAAAAAGAACTGTCAGTTATAATACTAAGATGTTTTGAGTTGCTATGAGCTTAAGAAGAATAAGACCTGGGAATTAAAGAGCAAGAGCAGGAAAGACAAGGGATGAACAGCTAACAATATTAGAAGCAAATACAGAAAGCAAAAGTCCACTGCCTTCAAGTGTTAACAGAAGACAAAATAGTTCGGACACATGAAACAGATACATGGGAGAAAACTGACCCCAGTTTTTGGGCCTGAAATATAGAAAAACAGAAGCATTGTCAAAAGGGAGCTGGCACAGAAAAAGTGCCATTAATTTAATGCCTACGGAATAACTACAAAAATACTAGAATTTATCTGATCACTGCTTTCCATAGCAAAAACACAAACCCTGTAGTGAATTTCAAAAATCAGTTGTTAATTCTGTACATGACAAAGTTTTCTATGTTCAAAGTTGTCCTATGTATTACAGTCTTTTACAAGACAAATCTTTGGACATATATTCTCACTCCTGTTAATTTAAATTCAACCTGACACCAATAAAATACTAATAAAATTAGTAGATCCAAATACTCAAGTTCTTTCCATGTTGAAATATAGATGGACTATCCAAGAAGTTTAAGGGGAGGAGAGTCTAAGACATGAAATGCTGGAATTCTAGAGGATACTGATTCAAGCTGCTGCCCTCAAAAATTTCCATAAAGCAGCATACAGAGGCCAGAATTTTAATTACTTTAATCCCAGGAAGAAAGATCTAGGGGTGCGTGATTTTCACATAACATACAAGAAACAATGGTGACTGCTTATCTCTTTTGTAAGCCTTAGGGATGGAGATCTGCAAAGTCATCACTAAGCACAAATGAAGGAGGGAGTCTTTCGGCAACAAGGGCAGTCCCATTTTGGCTAAAGGTTGCAGGAATGAGCTGCTCACGTTTCAGCACAGAATCTCAAAGGCCACAATGCTCACAGTGGAAACTTTTGCTTCATTAATATGAAATTAATATTAAAGTTAACATTCTTTAGTATGCTAATGAGGTCTAAGAAGAACCTGCTAAACTATATGTGACATGTGACTATAATACTCAACCTCCATGCAAATCCTGTTAAACCACCACCCATGGAAGGAAACATATGGTTTAAGTTCTAAGAGAAAGAAAGTATTTTGGAAGGACTCAGAACAGAAAGACAGACAAAACGAGGACTGCAGAAAATTAAGAGATAGGATGCTGAGCTCTTCTTCCTCCACCAAGAGGAAGATGGATACGTTCCCTTGGTAATCATCTCTTGGCGAAGAACAGCTGTGATATCTTGTGTTTTGCTAGCACTATTATCATACATTAGTGCTACTACAGCTACTGCATTTATCAACAGCAATCCTAATATGTTATGCCCGTCACTTCTAAAAAAGAACAGATGATTTATTAAGAAACTGTGAAACTGCCCAGTGAAAGCCCTTGTCTGGGGGAGGCTGGCAGGGAAAAGTCAAAACCATACTTTCAAAGAAACAAGGAATGTTACAAGTAAAATACCACCCCCCATGAAGGAAAAAATGGGCCAAGATGAAAAGAAGCGTATCAAAGCATGCTGTATTATTGTTGGACTACTGCAAGACTGCAAGCCACCCAGCAGAGGGAGTGTGTTGGTCACTGTGATTCCCTACAGGATTGCAATTGAACAATTGAGTACTATGCTCAACAAGAATGTGACTGTTTCTTTATGAACTAAATACTATGCTAGTTGCAGGTTTTCAAATGAAAATTGAAAAAAAGTTAAGAAATTGTATATTAAATAGCTTCAGAAATTTTTTAAAAGGAGAAAAAGCAGTAAAGCAGCTTTTCTGATGCTTAATACTGCTCAGTGTTGCACAGTGGGTATAGATTCAGAGCTGTTTCCATTTTTCAGACTTCCAATAAGCAAGCAGTACATCCTGTGCAAATACAAAAATCTATTCCAATTGACTAGACAAAAATTAAGCAGGGAGAACTATAAAAAGTCTTCAACTATATGTCACTGCTAAAATTGCATGCACACCAAATCTTAAGGAAAGACTAGAAAGAGTCCTGTTAGCATCCACATTCTGTAAACTTACTGTCAAGAGTTGCCTGTGTTCTAACACCACTGTGCCCATTCTGTAAAGAAAGGAGAGATGAACACATTATCTTAGAAGTATATTACACTCTTAGAATCAACCACACATGTAACATGCTTCATGCAGAATTCTATATTCATTCTAAATTGAAAGACAAGGCAGAAAACTAGCTTTTTACTGCCTTTAACAAAACCACATAAGTTCTCAAGTGCAAAGTGTCCTGAGCATACATAATCCCATACATAGCTCATACTACACCAATCAGCAGGAAACTTTCCCATGTACTGTATACTACAAACTTCAGGTTCACAGCAATATGAAAGAATTGCATTAACATATAGGAAATGGTTGTGCTTTTGATCTAATGCAACTCACAATTTTAACTATCCAAGTTACACAGAGACGCCAATTTTTTTCCATTGAAAGATAAGACTTGAGAAGCACCAGTTGCTTTTTGGATAACGCTGGAGTACAGAAGTGGATAGTCTATGCTTGATCCTCACCAGTACATACGAGCTAGTGCAGAAGACAAGTGTGACTGAGCCATTACATAACAAAGGCCAGAAGAAAATAAACTTACAAACTCTCACAAATTCCTTAAATATTTAATAAATTCTCTTAAAACAAACTTACAAGAGCACCTACTCTCTTTATATGGAATGAGCATCTCCCAAGAGAGATCCTCTGTCCTAAGTTAGATCTCATCCCAGGTATTTTAAAATAAAAATAAAACAGTATTAATTTCTAATGGTGTCTAAATCCAACAGAAGAATAATGCTGGAGGGGCCACAAACGGTTTGAGATCTATTGGCTAGATTCTTTAAGATTTAAAAAATGATCTATCTTCGGATAGAAACTGTCAGGTTACAGCAAAACACCATGAATACTATACACATAGAGAGTCTCCTCTTTAACACCTAAGTCTCAGGGAAGGAAATTTAACTAGAATGTTAAGTATTACTAAATAAAAGGATCAAACATCAATCTAAGATGCCAAGACCCACAAAACCAGAAGCATACACATTCTAAAGTACAGCATAGCCCAATAAAGGCTACACAACAGGAAAACACAAATAACACAGCACCTTCTTCAAAAGCTTTTTTCTGAAATTCACTCACCGTAACTGCAACTGGAGTTGGATCTGATGGAGCCATGGAACTTTGGTACGGTATCCTACTATGCACAGAAGTCTGATCATAGGAGGAAGTTGTTGTTACTGGGCTAGCGCTCTGGGATGAGCAGGTCAGACTGGAAGAGGAGATGGCAGAGGTTGTGTAGGTGGACTCCTGTACTGGATTGGATATTGGCAAAGAGGTATTCAAAGGATCACTGGAAAAAGTAAAAATTATTTACCAATATGGCAAATTAGATCTCATACACTTTCATGAAAATATTAGCTCCTACACAGGAGCTGATAAAAATACTTCAGTAAAACATGTAGTCAAATCTACATTTTTTTTATATTAGAAAATCATGAATAAGTATATTCTTTCTCTGGTCCTCAGTAATCACTTCTACTAAACCACCAGTTGGATTAACCACCATTCACCCTCCCCCTACCAGACCAACCAAAACAAGAATTGATATAAGCAATTTTCAGTCATTTTCCTCCCACTCATATGATAGGCAATGATCATCTTTCTTTCTTAAAAAATTAGATCCACAAAATCTGGTATATAATGAGAAACACCCAGCCTCTTTTGAAAATAGTATTCTAACACTTGTAATAACTATCTAACAGAACTAACTAAGAGAAAAAAAAATACTTCAAAACATGCACAATGTTTTATTTTCCAAATAGCTTAATGCATTTATAGAACTACAAATAAATGTGAAGGTCCATTTTTTACTAGTGTTTCTGAATAAACTTCAGGAAGCTTTTTACCAATGCCACTTCTTGAACAAGTAAGGAAGAAATAAATGAGTTATTGATATATTTGTATTTATCATTATCAATGCTAGCATTTCAATAAAAGCTTCTGCATATTGAAAGTCTGGATACTTTTATGATTTGTAGAAGCATCATATTCACAATCTGGTACCATCTACTGACACAAAGATGGTACCATGCTCAACTCTCCTTGATCTAATACAGAAAAAATTGCACTGTGAGGAAAAAACCCTCCAGCAAATTTGAAAATCAGGACAATCAAACATGAAGCAATTATATTAAGGCTAGCTTGCTTTAAGATTATTTACAGTCATGTTACCCCCAACTTCAAATCAACCCATCTGGAAGATTTTGGCTGTTATTATTAAAGAGACTTCTCTTTCAACACAGTATCCATAAAAAAGAAAGCCTTACAAGCCATCGTAATTCCCCCTTCTATTAGACGGCAATTGTCTTGACATATTTTGCACAAATTTGATCCTTAAAGAGGATGTTTAAGAAGGCACATGGGGAACTTGAACATACTTTACAGATTTTGAGTACAAGCTATTGTTGGTTGCCTGGCTGGCATTCTCGCTGCTTGAAGCTGATCCAAACTCTGGGAGTGCAGGCTCTGATCCAAACTCCAGAGCTCCAAACTGAACATTTAACCCTGTCACATCAGCTGACCCAGGCATCTCCACTGCAGAGGCAGGAATCTTAAATGGGGAAAAAAAAAAAAAACAAGCCACAACCTATTATTTGCTATCTACATTAACTCCTTTAACTACAGGCTTCTTCAATTACTACCTCAATTGTTGCTGTCAACTGCATGTGTCACAACCCTCCAGTTTACATCACATAATTTTATTCTTGTAATCTCAAATTCACTTACTGATTCTGTGCATTGATCTGCAGCTGAAGCCTAAGCCATGCTGCTTAGTGAAATGCAAGTATCATATACATCCACCCCCCTTATCCAACATTTACATTTTGGCCACCTAAGTCAATCCAAAATCACTCAGCAACAGTCATTTTCCACACAGTGCAATCAGATATGTGCTTGGGAAAGACAACATCATTGTATTTTGGACTGTAGAGCTATCTGCTTAGAAATCCCTACTTCATAAACAGGAAGTACGATGGTCTTTGCTTCCCTTCTCCCTAGAAACTCTTACGCATTTACTAACAATTGGGTGCTAACAAATTACCTACCTTGGATGCTGGAGTTATTCTTCGCTTTGGTGGTTTTATCTGTTTCTGTTGGGTTTGATGGGCTGTCACTGCCTGGTTATCCATAGACATAGTGGGGAGCTGTAAGATCTTGCTGACAGCTGTAGAGGTGTCTACCGGCGAGGGCTCTTGGAGTTTTACCTGGGAGGAGAAGGACTCCAGCCCAGGAGGAGGTACAGGGACTGTCTGTGTTTGTTGTTGCTGTCGTTGGGTCAGCTGGCTCAGAATTGGGGATGGTTCCGGCTGGGATTTAAAGTCTGGTCAGTTTGGGAAGAGAAATCAAAATTAAAGCATTAAATTCTGCTCTTCATGCTACTGCTTTTTAGCAAAAACTGTGTTACCTGACACATCTGACAACTACTGCTGCAAGTCTCTTCCAGAAATCTTTACACAAGCTCTACATGGAACATTATCATTGCAATAATAAGGACAATATATTAGGTTCACTACCTTAAATAACCAGCTTTTGTGAAGCATTTATTTTATTTAAAAGTAAGGAATTAAATCCATCTATGCAGTTTCATAACAATGTGCATTAGGTAACAAAAATCATACGCATTATTTTAGTCAAATGTGGCACATTTCACTGCAAGTAATCGTGTAAATAAACTCTGATAACTTTCAAGGGGTTTGGACTTGCAATTCAGAGCTATTATGACTTACGATTTCCTGTTTTACAAAGAAGTTTTTCAGCACAAACAGGGACTAATCTACAATCTCAGTGTGGCTGAAAGTCAAAAGACACTGGACATCTACAGTTTTTTTTCCCCAAGTCTTCCTCTTTCATAATTTCCAGATGCTGAAAGCCAAGGAACAGGCTGTAGAGCTAGCTAAGAACTGTAAGAGATCCATGGCACTCAATCTGAAGAAGCTCTTTTATTCAGTTGCTTTGTAATGCATTTTACCAACTTGAAGTGTTGACAATTATTTTTACAGAATTGCTGCATGCAAAAAATTATACATGTTACTAAACTGGCTGCTTATCTATTTGCAAACAAGTACAAACACACGCAAGATAACTACAAGACACTCTTTACAGTGAGAACACTGCTATGAACTGTACAAGTTCCGGTCAGTCACTACTGTTTCTGCCAATTATGCTTAAATGAAAAATCCATACACTTACAAACTGACAAAATGGTTAACTTGCATCATTTTCAGCACATGCAGACTTCACACAAGGGAAGAACAGTGAGAAGATACACACTATGAAGACATTATGCAGTACTCATTCACAGTTCATGTCATGGTTAGAAGAGAAAATAGGGAAAAGACAGAAAGATATGGTACAAACTTGTATTCAGCGAGAAGCAGCATAGGCAAAAAGACCAAAAGACTTATTCTCCTGAAATTGCTGAGAAACTAAGTCATATCAGAGATCTACTTACATAGTCAGGCACACTAAACTGAAGATGTAACCACATGAAGGCTCCACAACTTCCGTAGACTAACACATTCTACAGATAGCCTTATGCCAACCAAAACGCATTTTGTAACATATTTTTAACAACAATTACCAGCAGACAAGCTTAGCTAAAATTTTATGATCGGTTGTATTGCTAGCATTCTGTTTAAAGCAAAAAAACCCTTCATCAAGGCAATTTTAGCTGACGTCAGTCTAAAGAAATTTTAGACTAATAGAGAAAGAGAAATTATGTTAAAGCACTTACCAAACTGACTAAGGACTGAGGACTGAGTAATGGGTGCTTTTAGATCCCAAGATGATGGAGTAGTTGTAGTAGTGGTGGTAGAGCTGCTATTGTTTTGTTGAGAAGTAAGTTGGCCCAAACCTGGAGATTTCAGTTGGTCTAAGATTTGGGATCCAGTAGAGTTTGCCAATTTGGAAGATCCAAGATCTCCAAAGCCAGAACAAAGAACTGCAGACTGACAAAAAACAAGGGAACATAAAATAAAAAAAAACAAAAACAAACAAAGGCAGGGAGAAATTGAGTTAAGTATTTTATTAATCATTTGAACATAATCATAAGATCAGTGCCAGCAGCTGCTATTTGGCAACAAGTAAAACTTCTTCAGCTCCTGATTGCTAATTTAGAACAAGTGAAAAATTCAGCAGTTGTAGCACATGCCTGAACTCTCCTGTTATTATTGATACACAGGCTGTAATTTCTTGAACACTCACGCATTTCAAAAAGACATTTAATTACTAATAGCTGAACAGATTTTCAAAGAATACAACGGTCCAATTTTAAACTCTAATAATTGTTAAAGAAGGGATGTGTTACTCATATCACTCCAGAAAACTCAGAAATACTCATGTTTCCTCACAAGGCAGTCAGATATGTGCTTGGAAGTATCACATCACAGTTTCCTGGCACAGAGCTCTTCATTATAAATAAATGATTTTGTTCTGAGTCAACCTGTAAATGCACCTTTCTGTATTCAAAAGTTAATACAAGAACTTCATGTAAACCAAGGAACAACCACCCAGCAAATACAAGGAAAGGCTTATTTATATACGAGAAAGGATATTCTCGATCCCATTTCTGTAGCATTTATAACCTGAATTTTACGAAAATGAAGCATTTCATGAAATGACCATTACTAGAGACATTGCTTAACTTGTAATATTTGCTAATGAAGAGTATTTAGAAAGAATAAGATAATTTTACCAGACTCTGAGGGGAATAGGAGTTTACAGCACTGGAACTGCCAGTTCCTGATGCCATCTGGTTGCTGTGCTGAGAATTTGTGAAGACTAGAGCTTGGCCAAAGGTCTGCTGCTGAGAAGCCTCAAATGAATTGCCTTCTGTCTCTTGAGTACAAGTCATCGGCTTTTGAAGCAACGTCACCATATCAATGCTGTAAGGAAAAGTAAAGTTTGGCTAGAATAAACACATGCTGAAACTGAAGAAAATAGTAATGATATTAGATAAAGCTTCTGTACCAGCATTACATATACTGCTATCAGCAACCTTTAAGAATACTGTATATCTGTCACAGAAAAACTCTCCATACAAAGAGGAAGGAGAGAGTAAATAAAATTCTACTAGCTAAGGCATTCACCATAGTTAGAATTTAACTCATCTTTGCACTCTTTTTAAAGATTCTCAACTTTTGCAACATCACATAACATATATCATAAACACAGCCAAGTAACTGGAGACAAGTTATAAGAAACACACCACTTTTGAATGGATCCTGCATTCCATCACATTTTATGTATCAATTATCTACATTGCATACCACACTATCCCTCTAAAAAGAGCAAGGGATCAAAGTTCTAACCTCTATATAAGACAGGTTTGAGGAATAGTAAAGTCATAAATACAGAAACTGAGTGAAAGTCTGGTGAGACTGAAGTAACAAGAACAGCATAAATAAAAGTTTCTAGCAGGCACATATCCAAAATTACCCCACTGCATATACATAAGCAGGACAAGAAGCATATTTCCTCATACTTAACATAATTTATTAACCTTGACAGAATCATATCCATGAAAAAGTAAAGCATTCGAACAGTGTAAGAAACATACTCCCAAAGTTCTGACTTAAATTTATCCTAAACACACTACAAGTTTGGGTTGATGAGCTGCTTCTGTCACTTCCATTACTACAGATTTCTAAATGCCCAAAATTCATTTTAGTAAGTAAAAAAAATTACCAAACTTAAATTTATGAACTAAAATATTTTCTAACATTACTTGAGGGAAATTCGCTGGAATAATATTCACATCAGAACAACAAACATGCAAGCATACTACCTTTAAGAAGCAAAGGATCATAAGCTCTAGACTAATTGATGCCTTCTCCAGTCTATATATCCATGTTAAGTTTTGCTACAGACTGCTCATCACAAAATAGACCTTCTAGCTAACTAAAGTTTTTTCTGGGAAAATATTTGTCAAAATGCTGCATTCTGAGCACTTTCTGAATCTAGAGGGGGAGGATTTCTATATTCTGGAGAGCAAAGCCAGTGCCTCCCTTTAAACAGCAGAAAACTTTTCTTCTAAGTTATTTCTATTTCTTCCTATAACTAGTCTTTGTGCAGAAGACAGTCTTCTAAGTATTATCCTTGTGGATTTGATAGATTCAGCTCCAAAACCATAGTCAACTGTAGGTAACACAGGAACCCACAAAAGCAACTACCTGTAAGCAAGAGTTTTGCATTTAGCTTAACCAAATTCTGATGGGAGCTGTCCTCACATTATATCAACCCAACATTTGCTTTAAATACTACAATCTAACACTGCTTCACCAAGAGCTTTTTAGGATATAGGAAAAATGTGCAAGAACTTACCTTTGCCCAGGAGTCACATGATTCTCAGCTGGAGCAGAAGAAGCAGTAAAGACTTTCGTTTCAGAAAGCTGGAAAAGATTTTTTAGTAGAGTATTACAATCATACACACATTCACATTTCATTTTAGCAACATTTGAAAAAAGTTTGTCTTGGTCATGTAATTCCTGATAAAAAGTAAATGTCAAACAACGATTACAGCCAGGTACGTTGCAGCTCTAGCAGACAAAAACAGTCAAATTTCTGCAAAGTTTTTTCCACAGAATCAATAATCAATTTTACTAAAGCCTTAGGAAATTTCGTCTCATAAACATACACAGTGATGTACCTACCTAGAGTACCTACGCTAATTTGGGCAATAACAACTGAGAAGTATACAAGTAGAAACTAATTAATGTGACAGCTGGTATATCATAAGCAAAAAAAAAACACCTCATGGAGATATAATTTAAGATTCTACAGTACAGTTCTTATAAATCCTGTTGCAGAATTTTAAGACACTGCACTGTTTCCATGTACATGTTCCCATTCCATCTACTCTGTTATATATTTCAGCTCATACTAATAGCGGAGCTGCCTCCTACACTTGAATGTACACTTGAATGTATATAGCAAGCTAGCATTCAAGGTTCCTTCTTGGTATTTTTGCTACCAATGCAATGATGTCTTAAACTGATTGCTCTACAAGCATGCTCTGGAAAACAAAGCATTTCTACAAGTAGTAAAACCAGTTCCTCCATCCACAGCAGAAGCCTTTGCTGTTTTCACCACTGTTACAACAAAGACACTTAGCAGGTAGCAGGGAAGGGAAGGGAGGGCTGGTTGGTTGTCATTCTAGGGGATTAAAAGGGTCCTGTTCTCTTTTTTGAGAGTTTTTTTATAAAAAAATAATAGCATGATAGCTACAGCTTTGTAGGGCTAATTCATGTCTATTGACAGGTTCTGCTTATAAGCATTCACATCTTAAACCAATACAGATTAGGTTTAACAAGATAAAAAATGTAATATGTATATATTATCATCCTATTTTAAATTAAATTGGCACAGAATCACCTTTAACTATTCGAGTATAACCTTGCTTTATACCTAAAGAATAACTGACCTATTCAAAAAGTTATTAGGAATCCCTTCAGAAAGTGACATTTGAATACAGCTCAAAGGATATTACGCATTCTTAGTTCTGTATATTGCTACTAGTCCAATTTAAAAGGCAACACAGGTACCAACCTTTTTCACCTGCCATCACATGGACAGCTGTACTGGAAGCAAGCATATCCATACCTGTGTCCATCTGATTGACATTCTCCTAAAAAAAACACTCCTGATTTCATAAGTACACAGTAGGGCTGAGTGGGAGCTATCATACACCTCTCAGAAACAGCATCCAAATGTTTCACATGCTGCAGGCACACACCTACCACAATGTCATGATAAAAAAAAAATCTCACAGATCCTCCTTCCATTTCCTTCCAGTCAATAAGATATATTTTACCCCAATCTTTCTGAAACACATTTCAAATCTATCCCACACATAAAACTACCAGCCTGCAAACCTTTGTACTACCTAAGACTAACAGGGAACTTTCAAGGTTAGGAGGCTATTTCTCACTGTTTAACATTTGCAGCAGGGAAAAGACTATTTTAGAACAACACGTACTGTACTTACTACTGTGTTACAAGATTTCGGTATCTTATGGCATAAGGAGCTCAGATAATGGCAGAGCAGCAGCCTATGACCTGCAATCTGTTTATATTAAATACTGAATTCTTTGCAATGTCAAAAACTTCTCATTCCCACATAACCCAGGATAAAACCAACTGTAGCCATAACACTGATGAATCCTGAAAACTAAGCAAATTAAGAAGCCATTCACAGTATATAAGGGAGTAAACTGCCATGCAAAACAACTGCCAAGTCTCCAGTTACCAGTTCTACATTTAAATTTGTCCCACACACTGTCTCTGCAGCAAACTAGCTGCCACATACTTACATCAGGCAATTAATTCTGAAGTTTCTAGGAATAATGGCATTTGTTGAAATACATACTTTCTGCAGCAATTTCAAAAAGTTGTCTTTGATTACACAGATGTAATTAACAATTACTAGAGGTAGTATAATTAAGTAAAATATTTATGTTCACCATACATCAAGCTTAAAAATCCTTCAGCAAGGCAATGACAACTTCACAGAATGGAATTCAGGATCATGAATTATTTACATATGGCTATTTTACCAGGGTATTCCCTCCATCTGTACTGAAATGTCTGCGCTTTTCTGCCTTCGTTGCTATGATAAATCCATTTTCCAGCCAACAAGCAGACAACATATTTAAGAATTAACTAGCAACTTCTATGGACAGTTGATATGCAACAGGAACAAGAAAACATGAACACCCTCATGAAAACCCAACCTCTACAAATCAGAAATAATTAAATCTCATTACTGTTTTGTACTGAAGTTAAAGAAATTGAAACAAGATCTTGTTCTGCTTCCTAGGAGAAGAAACCACCACTAAAAAGCAAAGACAAATCAACCAGTCTGTTCTGAAGTGTTGATGTTTCAAATCAAAGCAAAGAGCATGATACGGTGCACAAAATCATTGTCTCTTTAAAGATATTTGTACATTCTTCCTCTTCTGATTGTTTCTATAGTTAAATTACTTAACTTTGACCAGAAGAATATGACCATAAATTTAAGAGGAAAGCACAGAGCTGTCCACAATACCTCAAAATTTGTCTCATACTTCACACTGTCATGTCCTGAATGCCTCATCGACAAAACAGAATCCCCTATTTTCATCGCAAGCAGTTTCCATGCTATTTAAGATCATGTTGACAACCTACTTACCCATTACTTCACCAAAATTAAATACCCAACAGGACTATCAAATCACAAAAATTTAATCCTACTCATGTTATACAGCACTGAATTTCACTCAGGTGTTCATATACTGAACATGCAACTTAAACCTAAACTAGAGAACAGAAATCTGAACAAAAATATTCTTCAGAAAACTACCTGGTCTTTATCTGCAGACAGCATGCACCATTAGCATCCTTGACTGTTTCAGTAATTAGTCACACTGCTAGAACTATTTAATCATACATTTAACCGTGCATCTCCATTTTCCATACAAAGTTTCATACTATGCCTTTTCTGCTAGACTACAGAACCCAATATAATCTAATCAAGTAACTTTTTTAGATTCCGTAAAATATGTCACAAATTTAAAAATCTCAATCTAACACCTTTTTTATCCTTTAATTTTCAGCTACTTTGCACAGTTTCTGCCTTTTAAGAGCAATAAGTTAAGTGAATGCAGTACTTCAAAATCAAGTTCTGAGGAGTCCACATACAGAAATAAAAACCAAGAATGAATAAGAGACCAAGAAGAGTGTCTGCAGGCAAAAAGACTACAAAGTGGGGTTTTTTTCTGCAACAGAATTCCAGAATCATAATATGCTGCTTTCCAGAAAACAGCCCTCGGTTCTAGACATATTCCTGGAATTCTTCATTCCTACTTATTTATTTACACTCCAATTCATTTACACATTTCTGTGTTCAGTTTTGGACCCCTCACTACAAGAAAGACATTGAGGCCCTGGAGTGTGTCCAGAAAAGGGCAAGAAGCTGTGAGGGGTCCGGAGCACAATGTTTATAGGGAGTGGCTAAGGGAACTGGAGTTGTTCAGTCTGGAGAAAAGGAGGCTCAGGGGACACCTTTTTGCTTTCTGAAACTCCCTGAACAGAAGTTTTGGCAAGGTGGGGGTCAGTCTTTTCTCGCATGTAACAGATAGGGATGGCTTCAAGTTGCACCGGGGAGATTCAGGCTGGGTATTAGGAAACACCATTTCTCTGTAAGAGTGGTCAGGTGCTGGAACGGGCTGCCCAGGGAGCTGGTGGAATCAGCATCCCCAGAAGTGTATTAACAGCCATGGTTTTGTGGGGAAATATTGTTGATAAGTAGATGGTTGGACAGGATGATCTTGGAGGTTTTTTCCAACCTTGGCGATTCCGTGATTCTAATTTTATTTAAAAAGAAAAAAGAAAATGTAGGTGAAGCACTTGGTTATTTAGCTATATTAAAACATTTTTAGTTTGAATGGGTCAAGTCTAGCAGAAATACAAACATCTCCCCACGATAGGCCCACTTTTATTGACTAAACTAATAAAATTTCCCAAACATATTTGTAGTGATTTTATCTTTATGTTTAATTTCCAAAGTGAAGCTGGCATCTGGCCTATGACTATGCGCCTCTGTGCCTTAAACAGTCAAGAAAGCTGATGATTCTCCCAGGAACCATCCACTTTTCAGATACTGCTGTAAAAGACTATTTGCCAAAACTGGCAGGACAAATATAATTACTAGATACTATTAGATGGCTTTTCTGACATCCTGGGATAATTTCTCTTAGAAATAACAAAAGTCATAAAATCAAATCTCCTTTAAGGAAATACTTCATCTTCATAGTTCACCCGTAATTTACTTAAAGATCAAGATTAGCTTTATTTGAAATAGACTTATAAGAGAACAATCATAAAATCATAGATAAATACAAAATAAATAGCACAAACTGTATTCTTCCCTTTTTTTTCCTTTTTTTTTCTTTTTTTTTTTCTTTTTTTTTTTTTAAATCACCAGCACCCACTATTTTTCCCCATTTGATTGCAGACTCACTCTGAGCACCATCACATGAATAATTTTCCTAGGTTACAGTGACTTTTCCAGCATTCCAAAATTAATGAAAATTAACAACAGGCTTGAGATTTCATCTGCAGCCCTTCCAAAAGTCATATACAAGTTACTCAGATGTAATAACAAATAAATATCTATCCCTAGGGAGCACTGCTCAATGTTTCTCCTCTACTACAAATGCTGCACTGTACCAGCACCAAATAAGGTAGAGAAACAAAGCCAGAAATTTTCACTATCCTTAGCCCACCACTAGCATATACAGAAGAGAAAGGGGACAGACTATAAAAAACAAGAACACAACATTTGATAGCAGTAATTGATACAAAGAAGGGAGGATTGTTAACATTTTTTTAAATTCCTCTAATTTTCCTCAAAAGACACAGTGAGGAGTAAGGAGTTCTATTTGTTAAAAAACTGCTTACTCATTCCGAGGGATAATATTGGCACATCACACTACAGAAGGAGGTAAATGGAAATCATTCAAAAATAATTTTGAGTTAATTGATAGATTTTTCCACACAAGATGAAAAATGAATTAAACAGAAAGGCTTTCTCGCCTTATTTCTTGCTATCTCATTTGTTTTTTGAGCTGCCTCAACTTTAATATAAAACACTGCAAACTCATAACAAATGTTACATGAAAAAATACGCCAAATGTTTTTCAGGCATGAAGAAGTGTCTCTTGCCTACAAAAGAACAAAGACTGCTACAGTACTTCATTGCTACAGTACACAACATGATGAAACAACATAAATGAAGAAATTAAGTGCTAACTTCAACACATTACTATGTCCTCTCTTAATATTATGAACATGATGATAACTAATTGGAATAATTATGACATCTCAAGCAAAAAGAATCAATAATGAGTCTAAACTTCACTACAAAGTAAAATTCAGTACTTCATTACAAAAAGACTTGTGATGATATGGCTTTTAAATTCCTACACAACATTAGGTGGAAATATGCAGATAATATCCATCACCATTATGCATTAAAGAACTATAGTTCACTAATACTTAATTGGGGATAAAAATTTTAAGTTTATTATCCATACATAGGCTTCCAAGCAAAATAAAATAATATTTCTTGATTCAATTTTATGTAAGATTAAAGCTCATCTAAATATATTCTCTTTTAAAACAGAATTACAGCAGGAAATGTAAGAAGTGTCACAACATAAACACAAGAAAGGATTAATTACACCATTTAGTTTTGAAAACAATGCAGAGACTGAAAAAGTAAATAATGAAAGCTATCTATCTGAGAAGGTATACTTACATCTTCATTCCAGTCTTCTGCAGTCCATTCTTCTATTGAGTTTTTCCATGCACCTATTATAATTTGGGGAAGGAAAAAAAGCAGTTACAATCTGCAAGTACAACTACATATATCAAACCTTCTCCATTGCAAACAATCCTATTTTGATACTAGCTGAAACACAAAATGAAGAGATGTTGGTTGGAAACATGAGAAGCCACAGAAAATTGGTCTGCAGATTTAAAAATTTGGGAGGTGTTTGGGTTTTCTTTGTTTCTTTTATACTTCAGTGTATGATTTCAGGAAATTCCTAGCAACTATGGTAGTTTGCACAAATGCATGTCTGCAACTGGTGATAAAATACTAAATATTGGCAAAAACTTCTTCCTACACCTGGTTCCTGGTGACAAAGAGAGGTTACTCAGCCCCTCCATGAGTTCTCCCAGCTCCATACACAATTCCATACAAAAAAACACAACCAGAGCATCTGTTCTAACATTCGCAGTCCTATTTTTGATAAACTCAAATTAAAAACCCAAGCTATTTTTCATCTTAAAACATATAAAGATATCATGGCAGCAAAAAAGTCACTAAGCTTCCACCATAACTGCAAAACATTTCTTCCCAGAAAAATTTTGGTAAACATCAGAGCACAGTGCCCAATTTGCAGCATGCAGCAAAGGTCAAACTAAGTGACCCTGTGGGTTTAGAAACCTACTTCCTCCCCTAGGAAACAGCAGACCCAGACATGCAGGAGTGATGAATGGACTGAAGGCCTTGCCCACCAGTATGAGCATAGAGAAAGGGAAATCAGCAACAGTTTGAACCTTCACTCCAACTGCATAGTCACAAGCCAACAAAACACAGCAGTAAAGTTTCTGCTACCATCACCTCTGAACATGCATGAAAGTAAAAAAATCTCTACCTTAATTACATGTAAAACTACAACCCTTTGAGATAAATTCTTTCCAGAACAAAGCCGCTTGAAGACAGCATTTACACTAATGCAATCACTCTCTATACCAGCACAGCCTCTGTTAGGCTTTGAGCAAGCAGCACTCAGGCCAGAGCAGGGAAGAGTGGCACCGATCCCATGACAGGAGCAGGCCAACCACAGTGAGTTGCATACAGGTCGAGAGGGGAGGGATTTTATACCCGTGAATCCAAAATTATTTGGCAGGTCCTGAACAAGGTAACACCCACTCTGTGCTGGTTCAGTGGAGCAATATCAGGTTGCCTGAAACACCCCTTGCTCTTCTTTTCACTAACCGGTTAATTAGGTGTTTTGTTTTTTTTCTTACTGTAAAATACTGATGCACTTGAAAAATAACTATGATTATAGAATAGCACATCAAAATTATTACAATACCTCAAATTACTAGACCAATTCACATTTCCACAAAAATCCTTGAAAGTAGATAAAGCCCTTTAAGGAGTACTCTTTAGAGAAAGTTGATAGTTCCCTCTTCTCTCGACTAGAACAGGGTATCTTTGATGTTCATCTTCTTTAAACAGATTCATCCCTATATTAGTCCTGCCTGTATTTATCTCACATTGGACACAGCAAGACTCATCTCTGCAGAAGATGAACAGTTTGCGCTACTGCCAGAAATCCAACAGTGGAGCTCAGTCAAACAAAACAAACAAGCAAAAGCCTTGGCAGAGCATACTCCATTCCTGTGTTACCTCCACACACCTTTGAGAGATAGTTTGAGAGATAGGAGCTGTTTGGAACAATACCTGAGACACTTCCCAAACATTCCACACTGCTTCTAGTGATGATGCACTTCTGTGCATTTACTCTTTTCAAATATTTGACACAGCCCCTCATTATTTTATCAATTCTCCCCAGCCAAGGATGTTACTGTCACATATTAGTATTCTCATATTAGCAAGTCAATCTGTCAGCCTCTATTTACAGTTATTCTCTGAATTTAATCCATACTGCTAACAGTTTTGTGGTATGGACAGAACTCTATTCACAAGTGTAACAACTCTTTGTTCATAATCCACCTTGGCAAGACTGTAACTCCATATATTCTCTTCATAACCTTTATTCCCATGCTTTGCAACGCATTTCTATATAACAGTTCTATTTTCCACTGAAATTATGCTTTGTTTTCGAAGAACCTTGTCAGATCAACTTCAGCTTACACTTCCATCCGTGACCAATTCCTGTTTACTTCTGCAGCAAGTTTACTTACAGAAAGCTGTAAAACCAAGAAGCATAGCACGTGGCTTTGGTACAATTTCAACTATTTTTTTCCAAGCCCTCACTTCCTGTCACTTTTTCTCCTTCTTCGAATTATCAGCCAAATACATGTATTGGCACCCAGATTATTTTATCTTGGTTTATCTCAAACATCTATACAAATCCTCTTCTTCATTGCTCCCACGTTCTAAAATGACCTGCAGGATTCCTTAAAGTGTTCCTCCTGACTTCTACTGCAGTTCTACATAAACAACTTCTTTGCAATTTTCAGTTCCTTTCTATCCCATGGAGAGATGGTTATCTTAAGAAGTTGTACAGTTAATCATGCCCACAGGAGGGTAACTAGAACTAGACCTTGTAAGACCCTTTCAACCAAAACCATTATATGATCAGTAAGCCACCAGAATGAAATTTTATAATCTACTTTCAGAAGTGAGTACCTCCATCCTAATTTAGTTCTAAGCATTGATGCCATTTGTTGTTTGAGATCTCCCACTGCCCTGTTTATCAGAAAAAGAAAGAAAACAAAAACTCAGCATGCCATTAGGTAACTACCAAACTGTTCTAGTACACTCTCTTTTGGAAGAGCATTGGTCATTTTGTTTCCTTCCACCTGTTCCCTTCTCTTTGCCTCAACTGTGACATCTATAAAAACTAGGATGCTGAATACTTTCAACACAATTACAAGAAAATGCTATAAACCATTAAGATTGAAACTTTATTCTCTTTCTATTTCAACTGCAAACATTAAGGACAGCAGTTCAAGGGATTCTCCTCATTTGTGGCAGTTTTTTCCTCACAGCCAGCACACAGATATGGCACAGCCATAGGTGTGGAGAATGCTCTGAGGTCTGTGGGTCAGTGGGTGATGATGTTGGAGGTCTTTTCCAATCTTAGCAATTCTATGATTCTATTCTATTCTAAATTTGTGAGATGAATTCAGACAGAATTTTGACACAAACTGGCCTAGCTTCTCCAGATATTTGCCCACTATCTCCTTTTTAATTCCCTGCGTAGCTAAAAGGAGCTAGTTTTGTTTACTTCTTCGCAGATCAAAGAAGATATGGGCTTATCTCACATCTACTAGCCCACTGCAGGCTCTGCACACAATTATATGCCTCATCATTCACATCATTAGCATTTCCACATTGTTACCTTATTACTGGAACTAATTACATTTGTAATTAATAACACAGATCTGTAAAGTAAGAGGAACTAATTAAAAAAGAGAGAGAACTAATATTTATGGTTAACAAGCCAAAACAACAGCTCAACTTTGTTCATCTCCCAGCCCCATATCTCCTCTACCACTGTATGCTTTACCCCTTATTCCTTTCCTTCCCAGCACTCCTACTTCTGCTTTTAAACTACTACCACAGCTGCAGTCTCCTCTTTAGTGATCCTTTAACATGCTTTCTGCACAACGGTTGAAAGTGCTTCCATTCTTGACAAAACTAAATAATTATATGTTAAAGTCTACACTTATTGAGGGATTTTTTGTTTGTTTGGTTGTTTTTTTTCTAATTTCATTTTATTTGGGGGCAATGGGGAGCAGCTTAGAGACTTTTCTGATATTCCAAGGACTTGCCTAAAGAAGCAGCTTTATCAAGTAAAACTCTCTCCCTGAGCTGACATACACAGCTTTGTCAGCTATGGCAACTTTTTCCTGAAAGTAAAGGGAGACCAGCAGTAAAAAGGTACTTTGAGTCTATAAAGAATTTTTACAGTAAACTACATCTAATTTCTACCCATCAAATTATTACGAATGAACTCCCTACATTGACAAACATTTCCTACAATGCAGAAAACTCCACACGATCACTCATTCATATCCCCTGTCACAGCCAAAAAATCCAAGGAAACTCTCACTACGCTCCCCAAATTTCCATATATGCCTTAAGCTGTTTTCTTGAAATCCTGTGCTTTTCTCAGTGATGTCTGTATGGTATAATAGCAAAAGCAGATGTGGCATTAAAAAATGCAGACAAGCTAGCGCATTTTCAGTTTCCAGTGATTTACTTAGCAAATCCCTTGTACGTGGATTCATGCACTCCAGGCATCTGTTTAGCCACATCCAGCCACTCTATTATTCCTAAGTAACATTCTTCCATTACTGAAGACTGAGGAGATCGCCACAGTAAGAAACAGAGTAGGCATACAATAGCTACACTGGTTACAAGGATAGTCAAAATATTCAAGCTCACTTAGGAAGCAGAATGCAATTCCAAGCTGTAAACCATAGCCTCCTAGCTGTGTTCATCAGTGAATAACTAGAGAATCTTTTAACTCTGTTCCTCTCTCCACATGCCTTTCTTGAACATTTCTTTAGTCAGTTAACTTATTGTTTCTCCAGTACTTCTGACAATAAACCCTGCACTATAGCACCACATCATTTTAAAAGTAATTCCCTGAAAAAATACCATGTTTAGCAAGAACTCCCTTTCAATAGCCATTAAAATACTCAGCACCACCCTGACACTGGACTACCAGGCAGTCAAGAGTGACAAGAAGCTGTCCATTAAACCCACCTAGACAATGAGCCAGCTTTTAGCTTCTCTGGTTAAGTGAAAAAATGGCTTTTATGAAGTTGGTAAAGCTGCACCTCAAGAACACTGTAATGCTCAACAAAGAAAACACTGGTCTCCAGCATCAGTCTTTTCCTTCAACACTTGCAAAGGGGTTGTGAAAAAAAAATCAAACAATGAAAAAAAGAAGAAAAAAGAAAGGTCACCCTAACTGGCTGTTGATTTTTTTTTGCTTGCTTAGAGTGGAGTTTTCTTGTTATTTTATTTTTTAAAAGTATCTTCTGTCAGTCAGTAACTTCCAGGTATGGATAATAATAATGTCATGGACCATGACATGTCTTGGCATCATGACACAGGCTTTCCTTTGTCTTCATCTCATGCCACAGAACATGGGAAGCAGCAATTCAACTTGCTTTTTTCCAAACCATAGATAAATAGGCCACATTCTTCAGTTCTGAATCACCATGAGACCACAGTTAAGAGGTTTCTTTCCAGACTGTATTGTCTATTGCCTTCAACCAGGAGTGCACATTTCATGAAACTTCATTTATAAACACACATATGGATGCCTCTATCTTCAGAGAGGCAGTTTGCCTTTTTGGCTCCCATTCAAGTGCCCCCTCTTGTGCTTTAGTAATTACTTATTTTCAAAAGGTGTCAGATATCAAACCTCTCCTCCATACTAGAGACTCATACGCTCAGGTTCTTATCTTGTATAGATGGGGCTTCCGAAGCCATCTCAGTGTCACCAAATGGATTTACATTCAGCAGCAGTTCTTCCATTTCTTTCTTTATTCTTCCACTTCAGATGCTATGGCTCAACGCCTATGAACCAATCACTTTTAGTAGTACTTATACTCTTAACTATAATAACGTGAGATCTTCAGCCATACTTAAGATAACTAAACAATTCTTCACATACAAGGTTCTTCCAGTAACTCTTCAAATCCCTTTGTCTCTGAAGGGATTGTTAGTATAAAACAAACAAAAAAACTGCAATTACCTTCCACTCCATTCAGCCAGAGTTGCTTGAGCTATAGCATGTGCTCTGCAATTTAACAGCAGTTAAGCTATAACAATGAACTAATATCTCTGCCACGAGAGATGTATTCACAGTTTCATAAGTTAACAGAATACTAACAGAAGGCTTATTTTAACCACAATTTGCTACAGTTCTTCATTCCAATCCTTTCACCTCTGGAAGCATCTTACCAGTTCCATCATCTGCATCGTTCTGACCAGTCTCCCAAATCTCTGATTTTGTCCCAAAGCCATCAGTGGCAGAAGACTCCGTATAGTCTGCGGGGTTAAATGTCCTAGAGTTTTAAAAGTTGAGAAATGGAAGAGAATACATGGGTCATTCACTGAACACAAGTGCCATTATTTTTAGCTGCAGTTGTGTTAGATTTAACATCTTGATTTCCACATGTTTATCTTGATATTTTGTTTTCCAAAAGAAAATTTTCTTCTAGCAGCAGATACAGATAAAAAAAGGAAAAAAGGGAAAAAAGAGAAAATAAGTAATAGGAAGGGGAAAAAAAAGTGAGGAGACTGTTGAGAAACTGAACCAAAACCAGAAGTCCTGAAAAAGCAGTCAACTACTCCCCCTCATCCTATGAGGCAGTTTATACTGTCAGCATTAAGCCTTTCTCAGCTGATCAGTCTCAGTGGCAGACTGATGATGAACCAGTATTGTGTACTTTAAGAGCACCAGAATTGTGCAGGACAGCAGTGAGAACATCACTAAGATTATTTCAGAAGGCACTCTTGACACCAATGCCAAAAAACAGATGCCTGTAACAGGTGAAAAGGACTAATTCAGAAAAACTTCCTTTCAGTTTATCATCAAAACTGTGAACAAGAAGGACTATTAGAGAAGTAAAAGTAGCCTTCTGTTCACTGTGACACCACTGATGTTACATGAAGTGTCATTTCAAGCAAACACTGAAAGTAGCTATGCTTCTCTGAATCAAGCTATTCTGACAAAACTGAAAACAATTTTTAGAACTAATGATAAACTTCCTTTGACTCTGTCTTAGATGCACATCCAAACAGATAAGGCATGAAAGCTCAAAAAAGAGGAGGAAGTTTATAGTCACTTGTCTTTCTGTCTTATTTAGGGCTCACATGCTTCACATTACACTGATACAAATATTTTTAAATTGGCTTTGGATAATAACCATTTCAGAGAATTTTCAGCCTCCTAGGCACTATGTGGCTGTTACTGATAGGTACAAATGAATTTGAGTTTGACACATTAACATTGAGTAAACTAATATTAGGATAGTCCTATTAGAAATACTGAATTAAAATAATCCATTTATTATCTAACATACAATAATACTAATACATACACTGGCAATCAATATTGCTGCTGAGCTTGACCCTCCCCAAAGTCTGCACTCTGCATGTTTCTTACCCCATGCCTTGGGCTGAAAACCTCCCCGCTCCTCTCCCTCTGCCACGTCCAAACCCTAGGAGAGAAAACACCATTTAACAGCAAAAGCAGAGAAGGAGCCAATCACTAGTCTGTCACATAAGAAAATACCACAATTGAAGAGAAAACCACTGCAATTAGTTAAATATATATTCTCACAGGAGAACATTTCCCTAACATATGCAATCCTGGGCAACCTGGTCTAGTGTTTGATCTAGCAGTAGGCAACTCTACCCACTGCAGAGTGGTTAGAACTAGATCATCTTTGAGGTCTCCTCCAGCCCAAGCCATCCTATTATTCAATTAAGTCTCAGTTTACTGAATGTTTCAGCACGACTTGCAATCTTTTTGCTAGTTTTTCTGAGTCTAGAGAAGTAGCACAAAACTCTAACAATAGGACTTACCTAAAGCCTCATTCCCAAAGGAGGCTGCTATTGCCAAGTCATTACACGATGTTCAAAAATTTGTTTCTACTTTCTCACTCTTGCCTTAGAGGCTCTACAATCACAGTCCCCATGCATGGTCAGAACTCTCCAGAAGTTCCCTGTCACTTCCTACCTGTGAGACTAGGGTGGGGGAAAGAGGGAATGCACAAGAGGGGAATTGCTTCAACAGAGTTCATCCCTATCTGTGACCCCAAGCTCTACTCCCTTCCCTGCACTCAGAGTTTTGCAAATACAGATAAACCACAAAACAACCAACAAAATAGTTCACTGTTGAATGAGTTTTCTGAATCAGATCCCTCCTTGCTAACTACCAGAGAACTAGTCATCTTCACATTTGGATAATTCACCAAAAATCAGGTAAACAGCTATCATGATGCCTTCCTGCTTTTGGATGGTTTTTTTGTTGTTTGGTTGGCTTGACTTTTCTTTTTTGGCTTTGCAATCTTCAAATGCAATAGGAGACAATCAGCATCCATTCCTCTCTGCAGTAATGTCTGTATTATGCTGCATAAAGAGTATAACTAACAGTAGTCTAAGAAGACCTATATGTGGTTTCCAGCATAATGGTCAGTGTTCCCAAAAACTTATTTTTTTTCTTGTGGTAATTCACGTTTCACTATTCTTCCATCGGTATTTTTAGACTCCCTCCAAAGAGAACAAATGACATGGCAGTAGCTCATTGCATCTTCCACTGAGATTGAAGGAAGATTTTTTTATTTTTTTTTTTAAATCATTCACCATTCTGAGCAAAAAGCAAATAATGGACATTAGGGAAAGAATAAAGTTACTGCCCTGTCTCATGCAAACACTCAAAATTTCTTGACGTTTCTTTCCACCTGGATCTGCAAGCAACAGCCCAAAAGAAAGTTAATGTAACTTACTTATTTCTGTTCCAGGAAGCCAGGACTAGGGACCAATGCTTAAAGGTGATTCCAACTAACATTCCTAGTACTATCCTATCCAACATCATAATTTTAAATGAACTATTTAAAATATTTTCCTATTTTCTTTAAGCTTTTAACTCTGTGAATACTGTTCTTTTCCTTCTTTCCAGGACAACTCTCTCAGTCAGCTAGGTTGAGTCTGGCTATGACTTGTTTTCATTTAAGTTCTCCAGAATTCATTCCAGAAGAGAAACAGGTGTTGAGTTTTTCTGTCTCCAATAAAGTGCACTGGGGGGTTCAAAACTTCTATAATCAGAAAATCAGCTCTGGTATCACCTCTCCATGGAAACAATGGTTCATAGACTTCATTCAGAATACTTCTTCTCCTAACCACATGCTTACTCCTGGGAAGCACATGTGGGATTTATCCATTAATTCTGCCTCTTTTGTAGAACACAGCTTAGACTTCTGAACTTAGAAGTAAGTTCTTCCCCAGGAACACATGCTCCACCTCAAAACTAAGATTTTCATGCTGAATGGTTTGAATTAGACAAAGAAGCATCAGCATTAAAAAAGAGGCGTAAGAATAGCTGAAAGGAAAAGAATACACAGACTGGAAGAGCAGGTAATACCCCAAAGATGTGCTCGTCTCAGACTATGCAGCAGTTGGACATCCCAAGCCTCTGTTCTGGAAATGCAGAGCAAGCCAGTCACAAGAAGATGAGGAGATAAAGGCCTACCACTTATGAATAGGTAACAAGGCGGATGTCTTCTATTCTGGGTATTCCATACTACAAAAATAAACACTGAGGTTTATCTGTAGAAATTCAAATAACTTTTCTTATTGATCATCATAAAGCTAGAAGCACTGGCTCAGTTTTATATGCTGTATGTATATAACCATTTGGAGAAAAAAATGGAGAAAGCTTCCAATTCCACACATAAAATGAAAAGAAATAAGTTAAAACAAAACAAGAAAAAAAGAGGAACTACAGGAACGCAATATAGAAACACTGTATAGAAACACAAGATTTCTAGCCAATGCAAGCTAACTACAGGAAAACTAAAACTTCAGACTCTGATCTCCAGAAGGTTTACTCTGCTTTCGTGTTTCAGAAAAAAAAAAAGCAACATCCTTGCTATTTTTGGGAAAGAAAATTCAAAATATGTTCTATATGTTCTGCGACAACTGTGCAAAGCTTTTTTTTAAAAAAAAAAAAGCCCCTACACATGCAGTTCTGGTTACAGTAGCTCATTTTGTATACAAAAGATTTTATCTGGAAGAAAAAGTTTTCTTTTTTTTGTAAAGAGATGATGTACACAAGCTGGACTGGTCTGATACTTACAAAAATGGTCAGCTGCTCTACTTTTTTTTTTTTTAACATATATCCAGGAAAATTTTTAAAAGTTTGAAAGGTTCCTCCACAGTCCAAAATTAAAATCTCATGCTTTTCCCTTTCACTTTTATTTCTGTTTTCCTAGAAGGAACTCACTGTTGGTACTCTTCAAGAATGACAAGGAAGATTTAGAAATAGCAGCAAAGGTGACCAATTCACTCTCACTTTACAAATGAGGAAAATGACCACATACGAATCTATTTCTATGCTGAATGAAGATCACAAGTTCATCTATCTGCTCCGGTTATCAACTATTGTTAGTGAGATTTCTGTGGAACCATGTAAGAACTGAAATCATAGCATAATCCCCCTGGACATTCTCCTGGTCTTCAACTATTTGTTGCTCAAAGACCTCCTGAGCCAGACAACGTACATAATTCACAGCCCTTGTTGGGTTCTGGGGGTTGTTTTTCCTGTTGTTGGTTTGTTGGTCTTGTTTCTTCACTATGGATCTTTCTTAGGATGATTTTGTCAAGAGCCTGCAGATGTTACAGATTCTGGAAACTTACATCTCATAGTAAAGAATTCCTCAGGTTAACTGCCTATAAGAATATCATTTCCATATGTTCATTTTGAAGCTGTAACATAATAATTTACTATCCTCTCATTCTCGTACTCACATGAATTGATCAACCGATTTCCTCATAGAACATTTCCTGCAGAAATTTTACAAATCCTCATCATACAATCATTTAGCCTTCTGTTTTGCAGGCTGCAGAGCCCTACTCTGCCTGTTCCTCACAGACCATAAAGGCCATCTTCCCAGTACCTTTCAAAGCCTTTGGCAGTTCTGCCACTCCTGTTTCAACATGGGGTAGGGGACAGTGGGAGAACCAGACATAAATTGAAAACTGAAGATGCAGGAATAGCACAAAACAGCTATACAGAAAAAAATACTGTGCCTGTAAAATCTGTCAGTTTATATACAGCACTACAGCTGATTAAAACACAAATAAGTAAACATTCCTAGAACTGACAGTACTGAAGTCGCAACCATCTCTTTTCCTAATTCCTTCAGGAGATTCTATTCCAGACAGTTACAAATCCTTGCACCACTAACACAGAAATACAATTGTTATCAATCAGTATTATAGTTAATTTTTTTTTTAACCACTAAATTAAACACATTCAAGAAATTCAGTTCTGAAAAGAAATACAGATGGAAAGGCCACCTTAAAAATACAAACTCCTTGACTCTTTTCCAAATCAAGGTTTATAACCTGCTTAGCAAGCAAAGATTAGAAGCTAAGAAGCAGAGAAGCAGAGCAGTCCCAGCTGTGGGATGTGTCACAGAACACCTCCTGTGGTGCACCTTTGCTTTCTCTTCCTTGGTCAGTAACACTTACTTATCTGAAATCCCTGATCTTGTGTATGCCAACAACCAGCTCTGTTTTTACACTGTATACCTATTAGCCCATAAAATTGCAAGGAATGTCACGTAGTCATTAATGAAAATCTACTGTGTGAGGAAATAACGTCTATAGCACTGAGTTGAAATTCTCAGTTTGGTGTTTTCTCCCCCCAGTGAACAGTATGCTATCAACACTGAGTTAATTCAATTTCTTCTGTTTTCAAAGCATGTCATTTCTTAACATTAGATTCTTCTACAATGAAGCAGTAATACAGTGGGCCAACAATTTTCCCCCTAGAAAGCAGCCAATAAGATAACTCCAGCCTGAGACAGTAGCTTAAAATAGAGAAAGAGTGTGTTGCTCAGATATTAGCTGACCCCTACAATGCCTACAGTCCTACACACTGAATGAAAAATGTCTAAAAAAGGGTCCTGCAGTGATTACCAACAGTCTACTTACTTTCAGCTGAAGTACTTTACCCCAACATTTCCCTATTTTGTCTAAGAGAAAAAAACAGCAAGGAGCTTTTATTTAAAATAAAACCTACTCATATTGAAAGTCACACATCACCAAAATACTGAAAAGTAAATTATACAGCCTTATATAATTCCCTGCAGATTTTGAAAGGTCACATTATAAAATGAAACTGGCTATTTCTACTGTATAATACACATACTTGTAATACAACAAACAGGAAGCCATTCACAGGGTTTATCACAGACAGTTGAAAAGACTTCATCGAGGCACTTTGCTCACATTAATGCAGAGTATGAAATATTTGGTAAAGAGATACAGAAATACTGTATACACTAACCCAGATACAGAAACTGGATAAAGTTCTTCCCACTTCTTCAGTCAGGTAAGTCAGTTTGATACCGATGATTAAAAGCCTCAGCTTGAAACATGATATTCACCTAGAGAGTTACTGCTGACAACAAATGCAATGCATTGTTCACAGGGTTACAAATAAAGATACAGATTGAACTTGAAATTAACCTCTAAATTTCACCCCAAAAATTTTTAAAAGTCCTAAGTTAATATTTACAACATGCATAAATAATTACTTTACAATAAAAACTAAAGCATTTAAATTCCATCTCTGAACAGTGAATTATACCACGATCTCCTCAGCAAAGCTTCTCTGTGAAAATGTTATTTCTTGTCAGCTGATTGACACGCACAATAGAGTAATTCTCACAACCCTCTGGAAGCTATATGTCTTTACACCCTTCCATTTCTTCAGGATACAAATTTGGAGACAATGAAGTTTGATTTTTCAGTCACAGAATGCCTTGTTACTGGATATTCCAAATAAGAGAGTCTTTTGTAGGTAGAAATGTTTTTTCCCCATACATCAGACATTATTTATTAAGCTACTAGCTCTGCTGTGCACTTCATCAGTGTAACTTCTTTGTTACCCATTTTCCCCACACAAGCTCTACCATTCTCAGGTATCTACTTCCATTCCTTTTGCTCTAAGAAAAATATGCTTCTTCCCACTAGATCAGATGAAAATCTAAAACAACTATGCATCTTGTTTCCACATCAAACAAAGACCATCATCTTTCCTATCTCTTCTAGAGAATACAATTAGAGTTGTACCTATGAATCCACAGTACTGTGTCTTTCCATAGTTCTGTTCATCAATACTATCAATACTCCCATGCTAATTCTATTTTTTTTTTTTTAAACAAAAAACCTCTAAAGTCACTAGTGCTTTCCAACTGGGTATTGAAAACAGAAGGCAAACCTGACAACAGGATCCACTAAAACAAAATGGCACAAGAACATATCAAATCCCTCCACAAGAGTTCTACAGAAGGAATCTTGCACTCTCCTGCTGCCAAGGGACATCTTGAGGAGTCCATTACACTCCCACACACAGGAGGCTGTCGCGATTCAATTTGGAGAAGAGCTCTCCACAGCTAGAGGACACAAAAAAATGCCATGAAGGTGATGTGCTGATTCTTTTAAGCCATTATGACACCAAACAATGGTCTCATAGTGGTTAGGAATGTCAAACAATGGTTGGGGGTGAGTGTATCTAAATTAAAGATGCCTGAGGTGCTAATGGATTCAAAGGATAACCAAAAAATGCTTAAAAATAAGCTTTTAATCAAATAAATGAAGGAGTTTCATTTCAGGAAATGAAATCAGTGCCAGTCCCACACCAATGCCACCATCTCACCTCTCCCACGGCCACGTTTCCCACGGTCTGAAGGCCTGTCTCCTTGATTGTTGTCTACTCCATTTTCTTCAGCTCTAACTGTGGAGAGAAGACAGCTTAAGAGAAACTTTAGAGACTTATACATGAGACAACACAGTCACCTGCTTAACTTGAACCCAAAAAGATTTTCAGAGCACTACAGTCAAGATTTCTCAGTCATCCCTCTCCTTTTTGCAGGCCTAGATATGGGCAAGTTGTTTACTTTAAACTGGACAACTAGGAAGTAAAGTATCTTTTAGGAGGGTTATGTCTTCTAGCAGACACAGCACTTGTTTTTTAAACCCAAGTCTCAAATCTCTATAGAAGCAAGAAATTACCCTGCCTCATACTTGACTTTCCTGGTAACATGCTGATTGGCAACAGCAGATGAGTAAGATAACCAATAACATCAACTCTTGTCCTGTCATCCTGCCCTGCTCCACATCTTCTGCTCCCTTAAAGAGGAGGTTGGAAATGACTGACCACTTAGAGCGCTGCTGAGAATTTTGTACTGCTCAACAAATCCAAATGGCACCAACATAACCATTAAAGAATGTACATAAAGGAGAGAGGATAATATCAAGATTTGGTAATCATCTTTAGTTCATGTTTAGTACAGAAGCATGCAGTGTATGGCCTTGCCAAGACATCTCTCTCCACACTTTCATTCTTACACAAAGACTCACAATGCCTCCATTGACTGGTACAGTATCTGAATATATTCCAGATATGAGTTACAGAAGTTTGACTAAAATTGTAAATATTTGTCCTGCTTCTAAGAGAAAAGGTGGGGTTCTTTCGGTTGTGTTCTTTTTTATCCCCTTCATTTTCTACTTATTTATTAGTGTTACAATAAATGTTTATGGCTATCTTAGGAGATAAAGGTAGCTTAGATAATTTCTGATAAAACTTAAGAGAAAAAAGGTAATGTCCATATTCAATGGTGATTTAGTGAGATTCTACATAATTCAAAAAACCTCAGTTCTCTTTTGCACAGCATACTATTGTATCTGTATAAATGTGAAATTTAAATGTTTCTGTTCACAAAGTACTACTTCTGTTGTGGAAACTCACCTGTGGCTGTTATATATGAGCAATATGTGCTAGAGATTAATAATATTCCCAGCTCTTTCATTCCCCTTATTAGAAGATGAAAACATCTTCAGGTTCTCCCACTCATAAAAGGAGATGGAGCCAAGCTAGATTTTTTTTTTTTTCATTAAAAGAAACAAAAAAAGTATCAGCTGTGCAGCAATATACTTCCTTTCAGGCAGTCTTACAAAGACTCAGTTCTAAAACTTATGTAAAGGACAGCAAGTTATAAAAGATCAATTAACCAGAAAGGTTTAAATTAAACTGAGCTGTCTCAGAAAAATAAAAGTAAAGACCATTCAAAAAATCAAGTAGATAAATCAAGTATACTTGTCACATAAACAAGTTATAATCACATCAGCACTGAGCTTCAGCTCTGACAGACTTTGTTCCATTAAACATTCACTTTCAACCAGTTTCAGCTGCAAGAAAAACATCTGAAGCTTTTAAAATGAATCCCTATACGTACTCTCTCGGCCACGGCTGCCTCCTCTTCCCCGTCTGTTGGAACTTCCCCGTCCACGACTCACTTCTCTGTCCCCTCGTTTTTCTCTGTTCTCTTTGTTTTCTGAACTTTCCTTTCCAAGGCTTTTCTTCTTTCCCCCTACAGTCTCCCAAGAAGTCTATTTAGATAGAACAGAATTAGATACAGAAGTCAAAAAGAAAGAGAGCTCTCTGTCTATAATATCAACCTGTTCACTTCAAAGGAAAAAAATAGGTATTTCCATAATAGCAGGTAAGTAAGACGTACCAAGAACTACACTGATACAAAAGGAAAATCTAGCTCTATCTCTGCAAAGAGGTGAGAAAGAAACAAATATCAGAATTTAAATGCAGGCTAAGAACTTGACAAAACACAAGTGGCCACAATAAGCCAAAACACCTGCTCTCACAGCCACAGCTCATCACAGAGAGCAGAAGCCAAGAAATATTATGTCTAAACAAGAAAAAACACTGAGTTCCAAACATCAGACCTCAGTTTTAAAAGTAAAAATCCATCCTTAAAATAAATTCAGAGATAAAATCAATTCCACGTAAATATATGTAGGAGTTGAAAGTGACTAAGACACTTTCTAAAAACAATACAGTAATTTATGTATTATGCAATTGCATGGTTAGTCTACTGAGCAGAGTAAAAAATAAAGGTATTATTTGTAAACAATGAAGATGGCAAAAATTCGTAATGTTCTTCTAAGAATTCATTGTCTAGATACAGTTTTCATCCAGGAAATTTGCTCATGTAGATAAGTTGCCATTGGCTATGAAGCACTAGATAAAGCCCACTATCTCACAACAGGCAATTGCCAATTAGTGATTGTGGTACTGTCTTATTTCTTTTCAATTCAGATGACAAGCAGTCCTCACAAAGTAGGCAGGGACCAGCTAATCCAACTTGTCTAGAAATAAGAAAACTAATGTTGCTGAGCAAGCAGGTAGCAAAACAGTTCACAGATATAAAGTTTCAATATTCTGTATAAGACAGTAAGTATTAGAATGGTCACACAGAATCACAGAATGGCCAGGGTTGGAAGGGACCTTGAGGATCATCAATCTCCAACCCCCCTGCCACATGCAGGGCCACCAACCTCCACATTTAATGCTAGACCAGGCTGCCCAGGACTCCATCCAACCTGGCCTTGAGCACTACCAGGGATTGGGCATCCACAACTTCTCTGGGCAGCCTTATTTTTTGAAGAAATGTATGTGAGAAAAAAGGCTGAAATCACTACTCAATTTCATATCCAGTATAGATATCTACACTGCCATTAACCAACTAAGGTGAAACACAGATGCTGTAGATTAGAAGAATAAAACAGCTTGATTGAGCAACACTGTTATTTGTGAGACAGAAAACTCAGCCTCCTCTAGTAACTATTGTATGAGGCCAGGCTCTTGTCAGTGGTGGTTACTGACAGGACATGGAGCAATGACCTAAAATTTAAACATAAGAAGTTCTGTACAAGCATACAGAGTAACTTCTTTACTATAAGGGTGATAGAGCACTGGAACAGGCCGCCCAGAGAGGCTGCAGAGCCTCCTTCTATGGAGATACACAAGACCCATCTGGACATCTACCTGTGCAACCATCGTAGAGAGCCCACTTCCACATGGGATGGACTTGATCTTCCAACCCATGCAATTCTGTGTGTGTGTGTGTGTGTGTGTGTGTGTGTGTGTGTGTGATTTCACCTGCTGTAGCCTGTGCAAGTGCATTACACACTAGGACATACCAAAAGTTTTAGAGATCTTTCAAAACAGAATTACGTAACTGCACTGACATCTCAAGAAGCAAATCAAGATGGTTCAGAATGCACTATTATTTCTCTAATGAGTACAGTGCCAAAAGACTTTTAATCATTTTAAGAAATTTCCCAAACTGAATGATTCTGCAAATCATATGTAAAAGTGGACTCTTTTTAATAAAGCTTTATATGACTTGAAAAGTATCAGTAAAATGACAACAATGGAAGCATCGGATTTCCACGCTTTCCCACAAATAAGGATTTCTGATAATCAGAAGATCTTTGGGGTTTGAAAAGTCTGTTATTACTATTTATACAGGGGAAAAAAAATCAATATAATTTTAAAGAAATCTGAGAAGTTGGGATGGTGTGGTCTCTGTGCATGGGTACACATCACAGAAAATCGTGCTTTCATTAGGAGTTAACTGATTACATTTCCAACTGAGGATGCCTCGTGCAACCCAAATTACAGCTGAGGATTTTAACCTTGGAAATATATAGCACTAGTTCCCTCTTGCTCACCTCATGCCCTTTAAACCACCTTAAAAATCCTCAGCAACTAAAATATAGTTAGATATAAAATGGCTTTTGCTTCTTCAAAAAATTAAATGTCTTAGGCAAGGAAACATGCCATTCTCTACTCTCCTCCTGTACATCCAAAGCCAGACAATCACAACCATTCCAAGAGAAAAGTCTTCACTACAACAGAGTACAAAGCTTTAAGGATAAAAGTTGAAAAAAATACAGTTTGGCAGTGTACCAAAGAATTTATAAATAGACACTGTCTATCACTCCTTGCTCTTCTAATTCCTCAAACTGTATAGATAGATCTATTGAATGAGGTAAAAAAAAATTACAGTGCACTAAACAAAGCAAAGTTCAAAATAGATTTGGCAATCTGTACTCAGAACAAGAAGTACCTCTGCTTCCAACCTTATATTATAGTGTAACTGTTCTGGAGAACAATGGCCCTGCAACAAGCCATTTCAAGCTGTAGGTCCATAATTCCACAAGGAATAATAAATGACACACTCCTCTACATCACACACTAATGTAGAGCTTGCTAATTAATATCTTTTCACCCTTCCTCACTGAGATCTCTATTTCTTTGTGAGTTGCATTTCTTCTACGGAAAGTAGTGTGTTCAGAGAGACTTTGTTCACAAGTGAAGGTATTGTACCCTATTGATAAATGAATTCAGAAAGTTTATCCCATGTCATCATCACTCATAAAAATTTGATAAGTAAGAAAGCATTTAACATTCTTTTTTTTTTTCTCCCAATCAAAAAAACTATTTTCAACTAGAATATTACAAATACAAGAGAAGACAGAAAAGACAGCACGTTACTAAGATTGGTACAATCAAGGTGAGGTGATCTTTTCTACTATCAGCTTACTCACACACTCAGCATTACACACTGCTGTGCATTACATGATTTCAACTCTTACAGCAGTAAGAGGAAAGAGGATAGAATAGAAAGTTCCCTTGGTTAGAATGGTATGTGACTTAGAGCTGAGGAGCACAAAGTAAAGCTTCCTCACAAGCAATAAGCACACCCTGATAAATCACAGTAAGTAGCCAACATTCAACATTAGGGAAGTTCAGATTTCTTTCCTGATTTACATGAGATAGTAAACTGGATTCTACTTCGGATAAACCGTAAGAAGCCCCTCCAGCAAAATCTTTAAGCAGTTTTGTGAAAACCTCCTGTTGCCATGCAATACCAAGTGACATTGTTGCCACACACAGCTCAAATTCCTCTTTTTGTTTCCCAATGAAGTCAGACAGATGAGCAACACAGTAACAAAAGAATTACTTGCTGTATCCTCTCTTGCTATTATTAGCTTCCTACTCATCTTTCAGATACAGACCTCGAAACCCGCAACACATTCCAACAAGAATTACATGTCTTCAAGTACCTCCCTACCCTTTAAAGTTTACAGACACAGTACTGACTAAGTCTCACGTCCCACGATTGAGGAGGTGCTTCAAACAGGCCAGCATAAAACAAAAACACGTTCCAAAGAACACAAATACACGTAAATAAAAGATGGAAAAGTGCAGGACAAAAGCAAAAAATCTGTGACCTTTTCAAGGTTCAGCCTATCCTAAGACATGCACAAGACAGAAGTGGCTTTGGTCCTCCTCATTTCTTTCAGAGAAACTTCAGTGGAGACATATAAATTTAAAGCTTCTAAATTGGACTTCCCCAATCACTTATCTCAAAGTACAAAGGTACAGCACGCAAAAAGATTAGTTGAATACTGAAGTAAAAGCTTACCGTGTCTGAACTTCCTTCCAGCAGTATGTTGATTGCTCTGTTCACATCCCCATTACAATCATGTAGTGCCACTATGCACTCATCCTGGTTTTTCCCCGTCACTTCCATAAGCTGGCAGTAAAAGTCACACATGTTAAAATATTCAAGTTATCGTCATCACAGATTCCAAAAACATGTGCAGCTACTGTGTCAGAGCAATTTAAAATCCTAAATAAGGGTATCTACCTTGTATAGACCTGCTTACAACTTAGACAAGCTTAAGTAACAACCGATTAAGCATCCCTACACTTTTTTTTTTTATTTTATACTTCATGCTTTAGCAAATGTTGTTATCTCCAAGACAACTATATATGAATGTAATAACATTAAAAACATTAAGAGGCTTGGACAGCTCCAGTATCATTCTCCCTCACTACTTGACCCCACTGCACAGCCATAAAGTAAATCATGGTGGAGAATCCAGATCTATCTGGAAAAACATCCAGAGAAGTTAACTTTTTCAACTAGATCAGCTCCTTTGATCTACTTTAGCATAAAGCCATGCAAATGGGCTAACTGATGGCTGCTCAAGGAGAGCTGGTACTGAATTACACCTTGTGGAACCTGTAGCGTGCATCCCGAGTAGTTTGGGACAGATATAAACAAGATCTGTCATGGGGTATCCAGTACCTCTACCCATCAAGAGAAGAAAAAGAACACATGATAGAAATCAACATGCATAACTAAGATTTTGGACAACTCCTTCAAAGAATTTAATTCTTAGCCTTCTTCTGATCAGCAGAGCTACAGGCACTATTTCAGGGTCCTTAGGTCTTTGGATCTACAGGACTTCACGCCTGGCATAGCAATGAACAACTTTATGGAAACAAACAAAAAAAAAAGCAGTTAACAGCGCCTCATAGGAGGCTTCAGAAAGGAAAGGAAATTAAGAAGTGTGCCCCCACCTGCTGCAACAATGCATTCACAATAACTCTTCTTCTAGATGTGTTCCTACACTCTACATGAACTGTGATGTGCTTACAAAGGTAAAACAACCAATGCACTGAGCCAAACAGGTATAGCTGAGTCCTCAATACTCAGCTACAACTGTGCAATAGAAGCTTGAATGCATAAAGCCAATGCGCTCAGCATGACAGAGGAAACAATGTGATATTTCACTTTAACGCATACACTAATCTGGGATGTCAGATTTTAAAAGACAAAAGCCCCACACCACTCCAATTCACCTTTTGCTAATACTAGATTTTCACTTCTCCTGAAAAACAGATGGTGATTTAGCAAACTCATTTTACATAGGTGACCCGTTTTTCCCACGTGTATGTACATGCAGACAAACTGAATGCACTCTTTAATTCTGAGACAGCTAAGCATCAGGACTATACTAGAGACAGAGTTTGGAAGAAACACTGGCACAGATGAGTTTTAGTTAAAAGCCTTGTTTACAAAGGGAAATGCACCAGTATAACTATCCAGCCAGTGTTATACTACCACACAGTGTCTTACAAGCAGAATTTTACAGTGAAATAAGAGCACCTATTCCTAATTAAATGTATATCATTCTGAAACTGGCTTCATCTAAATAATAATCAGCCACCCTAGCTCCAAAATGTAAGCCATCCTACGAACACCTCATTTACAGGGCATAAAAACTCTGTACTGTAAGAAACATACTTGTTTCACTTTATCTTCAAAATCTGCATCATTCTTATCGTAGATCATCTGAGCAAGGCGAATCTGTTCTGCTGTTGCCTGAAAAATGCAAACATTCAATAAAGTTCACAAAGTGTAACAACATTTTTTTTTAAGAGTATCTCCTAGAGTCACTATTTTTCTCTCCAGATTCTCAGAAAGAATATATGCAGCAAATACAAAAGAGCTACAGAGAAGTGATTAACATTTTCTTCTCTTTCCATTTTACAGTTAAAAAGTTTATTGGATCAGAAGCAATTTCAACATGTGGTTTTGATGTCTGTGCCAAAGCTAGACCTCTCTACATAGATAAGACAATTCTGTAACAGAATTTTACACAAGTTTGTTTTGATATTATTATTTTTAGTTCTATATAGTATTTATCACTCCAGAGTCATTTTTATCATAAAAAAGCAGTAATGGTATTTTTCTAAATTAACCTCCTCTGTGATGATTCCTGATCCCATCACCTTCCCTTGACTCTCCAAGTGTGATTATAGATTTATGAACACTTAAAAGACACGGCTGCACCTCCAGATTCTGCCTGTGAACAGCCGCATTAATTCTGGCTTCTGGAAACTGCTAAAGGATCTTGCTGCTTATTGAAATATTTGGTGCCTCTGAAACATTTCTGGACTACAAAAGTATACCCACAACTTCTCCAGAAGTTGCTAGACTAAAACAGATGGATGCACTAATGCACTATAAATCCTACTATATGAAGGATGCCCCACAAACAAAGCTACTCAACACCATTAATGTCTCCTCACATAAGGCTATTCTTCACAGTGTGGTATTTGGAGTCCACTGGAACCACATTCCCATGAAAATAACAGAGATAACTGTATGCTGCATGACCCTGGACCTAATTTGGTCTCAAATAGAAAAGACTTGCTACGGAAGGCTGATATTGAAGAGAGCTAGTACCCAAAAATGCAATTCAAGGAGCAGCAAAATATTTCTTCATTAAGAAAGGACCACTTCATCCACTGAAATTCTTGAATAAAAGGATTTATCCTGAGCAGCTGGTCAAACCTCACCTTTTGAAGTCTCACTTCAGAGAATACCAACATGAAGTCCTGAGCCTCAAGAGTTTGACTCATCAGCCTCAAATTGCATCGCTGTTAGAGTTTACCACAAATACAAGCTCTGGAGAAGGTCGCCAAGTGCAAATGCTAAGAAGAGTCTAAAAATTACTCCACCATACACCATCAGCTGCTTATTTGCTGAGAAGTTACTGCAGCTGTCTCAGTTCCTTGAGGGAAGTGACATTTGCCATGCTGAGAGGCAATGTTCCAAGACAATTAGTGTTTGTAACAGAGTTAAGAACTCCGTGCTATTTCACATTTCCAAAGTATCATTCTGACAGCTTCATACATCAACTGGTAACACAAATGAGAGACTACTGCAGAATTCCCAGCTCCACACCTTGTATTTCCCAGAGCACGCTGCACTTTCATGAAGGCCTCTCCGTTAAGAGTGCTCTGTGCAAAAAAATCCATTTATTGGTGTCTGCCAGGTGAGTAGCAGAGAACAAAAAGTAAATATCTACCAGTTTCAGGACTTATGCCTTGTTGACACATCCTCTTCCTCTGAGACTGACTTCAGTTTCCTTGGGCCCATCACAGTTTTTAAATTTTTAAACTCAAGACATTTCCTTTATAGACATCCAAAGCAGAAAAATTCAGACAATGTAATTTCCACATATTTGACCACATATTTGACCAAAAATGGAAAGCCGTTAAAAAAAATTAAAAATTAATCCTAAGTCCCCATCAGATGACCAAAACATACCAATTTAATAACAATATAAAATGTGACAGTATCATATTTTTTCCTGTGTAAGAAGAGGGCTTAGAAAATCACCAACATTTATGCCAGTGGACTACCTCCATACAGTACCTCAAGATTCTAAAGAAAAACAAAGATATTTTTATAACACCAACACCAAATCATTCTCACAAGTTTGGGTTGTTGTTTTTTTGTTTTGTTGGGTTTTCTTTTTGCTCAGTAACTTGTTGTTCTTCATTTTTTAAGACACCATCTTTACAAGTAATACTTTATTGTCCTATAAAATAGCGTAAAATTTTACTCAGCCTTTCAAGATACATGATCTTTGCCGTGTTAGCAAACAATATTTTGAATCAACAACTTACAACTCATAGAAAACAAATGTACAAACACAAAATTAAGTGACAATAGTAGGCCCAGATCTTCTAATAAAATGTTGTATTTATTATCCAGATGCAGAAAATATCTGCAACATGACTTCTTAAAATATGATAATAGGATATGACAATAAAGAAATCTCCATTTAGGAAAGCAAAGTTCTTCTAGATTCATAGAAAATAATCAGTAGTGATTAAACAGTAAAACAAAGCATCTTTCTGTTGAGTTTGAGTAAGTAGGAAAGTTCATCTGATTTCTAAATAATAACAACATACAGTGCAGTAAAGCTAGCTGCTGTAAATTTCTACTGAGCTGAGCAAGCAAGTATTTGTTATGCAAGTAGAAAGAATAAATGGATAAAACCCAGAACACATGCAGTGAGACCAAAACTCTGAATCACACCAGTTAGAAGCGTCCTCCAATAATACTTGTACAAACTTCCACTAAGAGCAGGTCCCATCAGAGAAGTTGCCTGGGGCCAGACAGAGATCTCACCACTTGTCTAATTCTTATTTCACTATTTGGTAACTGTGAAGGCAGACTATTTTCCTCCCTCTTCCTCTTAGCAGCTGGAACTCACAGTGTTCCAGCTCAAGCCATCAGACCTCTCTGATAAGGCTTTACCTTTTCCACACCCTCAAAAGAGACATCTGAATAAACCTTGCCTTTGCTCTTAGGGCTGAACAAACCTAGCTCTCTCGATCACCTCTTAAATCACCTTAACTCTCTAGGATGTTCATTTCTGTCTACTCATTTATTTCATGTGCTTCTGTTTGGTTAAGATGTTCATCATTCCACAGCACTCTAAATTATAATAGAACAAAAACAAATTTAACTTCACCTATTTGAAAGTCACTTTCTAAATCCACACATTAGTATGAATCACCAATAAGCAAAACACTGCAATGCAAGGAGATGAGGGCTTGAGCTCACATAATTAATACTGTAGAAAACAGGAAGGAAGTCTCACTGTGTTAAAGATCAGTCTGGAAAACAATAAGAGACTACTTCCCAAGGGAGCACCTCTAGACTGATACACTCTTTGTCAGCAAAGAACTGAGGCAATTCTTGAACTGAGTCCAATTTTAGAGAAGTACCTGACAAGAGAATGAGTTGCCAGAAGCAGAGAAATTTTGCACTCTCTGTAACCCAGACAAGCACACAACTTAACTACTTTGTTGCTGGAAATCAAGGCAATGAGCTAATCTTACAAACGCTCAAAATACTCCCAGTCTACTGGTAGACAATCTTCATCATTTTACTTTGTGAGAAGATACTGCACAAGAAATATAGTATTTTGTGACTTACAGATTTGCTGAATCACACTGTAGAACACAGCATGTGTTTAGTAAAGATTTCCCCACCCACCCAAATGCTGTAAGAACCAGGAATCCTCTAGCACCATGAGGCTAACATATGGAAGAGCTAAAACCTGAAGACACTGAGATCAGAGGATAAAAATCTTGACATAGAATTCCTCACTGATGAAAATATTGCTGAAAAACACAAACTCATTTAGAGACAAGAATACAGGAACAATTGAATGCTGTGGTAGATTACTACACATTCAAGGTGAGATATCAAATACTCTTCCAAAATAAGACTATATCATTACACACTTTCAACTCAAAGATTATTGTACAGCAGCACATACCTGTACTACTTGTTTCTGTTGTTGTATTGGCTGTGTGGTTGAAATTTGCGTTTTGTCCCGAGTGCCCCGGGTACGTTCACTGCCCACCGAAGTCATCATATACAGTATATACAAAACAATGTATGTACAAAATAGAAAATCTGAAAGAGAAAAAAGAGTGTGAGTTAAGTGGCAATGATTCAATACCAAGGTGACATACAATGAAGTAGCTGCAGCTTTACTTGCCTTTAACAGGAATTCTATACAAAGATTCCTGTGAAAGCAGCTCAAAAACACTACTATTGGACTTATCACAGTCTTTATAGTAAAAGGGAAATTAAGGGATAAAAAGCTTTCTTATCAGCTGATTGGGACCTGTCTGGATCTGTAGTTTCAGACAATACCTACAATTCTTAGACTTTTCTCTCTGCTGCTCTGTTGAGATTGCTGTTTCAGCTCTGTAACTCTCTCTGTTTTGACGCCTGGAATTTAAGCGCGCTCATACCCATTCAGAACATTAAGTAATCACTTTCACAAACCAGACAGTTCCCTATCATTAAATCTCTTTCCTACACATATAAACAGGTCGCAGCCAACATCTACTCGTCATTCCTCACTTGAAAGAGAAATGATGATCCTTGCCTTTAAATCTAGTCTATGGCAGTCAGCTTTTACTTAAATTTATTGTTTCAAAGATTCTAATGACCAGATGAATTTATTATTCCCCCATGTTTGTACAACACCTAGCACAAAAGTGACAGATGAAAAAAGGTTTTGGTGGATATGATAACTGAAAACAGCTCTCAGAATATTCGTCATCAATTGCTTGTTTTGCCCAGTACACAGAAACAAGCAACAAAAATGTAGTTTTTCCGCAACACTGGGAAGCAAAACTGTAAATATAGAGAAGTAAAGACAATACTTGCTGCCACCTGGGCAGAAGATGTGCAAGGTTGCAGCAAAGACTTTTCACTACTGCCTTGGTGCAAGAATGTGTCTCAGTACAGAACCTGCCAGGGCAAGCAGCTTCAGCACAAGCTCAAGGCTGAGTTCAGTGCAAAATAACACTAAAATTAAAGGCAAGCAAATAATTGATTACATGGACAAGGATGTGTTCAATATCAAACTGGTCACTAGCCTTTACAAGCAATGTGTACTCAAAAACTGAAGATACAATGATATGTTTCTGATTTATGGAACTCAGAAACCTCACCTAGATAACAAAAACATTAACACCATTACAATCTTCAATTTAGAAATATTTTTTTGTTGGCCAAAATTGAACCCAACATTGAACTGTTTTATATGAACGTTAAATCTACCTCAGGCTCTGTGCCCGATACACATTTCCACAAACTCTTATGTATTCAACAAGAAAAGGCCTGCCTTTACCAGGAATCAGCCATAGTATGATCAGAATTGGGACACAGCGTTTCTCCAGTTTTATAAATACATTCACTAAAGCCAATTTGTTTTGCAATCTCTTAATGTAGTCTAACTTCATTGTCTTTTAAACTCTTAAACAAATAGGCTTTCAGAGCACTGTGCTTTGACATCCTAACAGCCAAATACAGTCAGAAGTAATTCAAGCTCTGGTAAAATGATCCATAGGAAGCAAAATATGAAGCAGTCATGAAAACAGCCTGAACAACTTCAGTGCTTAACACGTTCTCTGGTCATGGTTGTCCACTGAGACTAAGCACTAAAAGAATGTGCACAGAACACTTAAGCATTACTTTCACTGCATTAAAATCCATTTTAAGCTGTGCTGACTGAAATTCCAGTGCCTTAAGACTAACTCAATTTAATATATGCTAATAATGACCTCTGGTTTTGTCTGAGGATTGGCTTGGTTCTGTGGTGAGCTGATGGATACTTTAAAACTATTTCAATCAGGTGATTACAAGTTAACGATAAAAAGCCCTAAAGAGAGAACAAAGCAGGGAATAGAAACTCGTCTGAAAGAGAAGGTAACGTTTAAACTATGACTGTCTAGAATCCACTCACTAAGATATGCTGAAGAATTGGAGCACCGCTGGGTCCAAATCTGTTCATCATTTCTGAATTGAAGTTGTGTTTACGTAGATTTTGGTACCTAAAAATGCTCCTCAAAATACTGAGATTCAAGCTTTGGATGTGACTGGAGTACACACACGTTAAGACAAAGTTTCTAAAAAGTTTGTAAAACACCTGTCTGGCTATGGTACACAACTGTGAAAGCCAGACAACATGTGGATCCAGGAAAACATTAGGCCTTTTCTGCTTTTCCTAACACACAGTATGGTGCCTCTGTACCACAACTGTTTAAGCTATGACTGTTTCTCCATGAGGAAAGGATTTTTTAAGGAAAAATTAAAGCACATGAACGTTTGAAACACTCCTGGGGAATGATGCTACGTAACAAGATCTGCCTGACAGTCAGAACGGAGCCAGATAATCTTGTGGTATCATGGGATCTTTAGGCAAGATCCTAATCTTGCTGACCACACAGCACTGTGAGCAAGCATCACACAACAACAGGTCTGAAGCAGAAAAACAGCAAAGGTGAGAGCCTCTCTTCAGGAGCACCATGGACTTGCTTCAGACAAGCATGGAAACAAACGTACCCTCAGTCTGAAGTTCCCTTCAAGCCAACGAGATCGTGGTATAATCTATTTCAGACATGAGTCTATTGTCTTAAAAGCACTGCTAACAGCAGCCGCAGCAAGGCCCCAAGCAGCTGAAGGGCTTTGTCTGCTGCTGGCACTGCAGCAAGAAGAAATGTCCCACCATCCCACACCGGCTGTGCGCACATCTCACAGCCACTCACAGCTGTGAGGTTCAAAGCAGCAGGCTGAAAGGAGGCAGATAGCCACTGCCTGCTAATTACCACAGTGACTAGGATGTCGAGCACTAAGTGGGATATTATTAATAAAATTAATGAGATAGATCTGAACAGGAACATTTCCTTGCTCACAAAGCAGTTGTCATAGCAATGAGGAGGATGTCACAAACTGTTGAACTTAATTTTTACTGTAGATCAGATGAGAAAAGAAGATTTGAGACTAGAGGAAAACAACTCTTAATTAAAAATCTGTTTAATAAAGATTAAAAAAAATATTCAGACAAGCAGATGTTTCAGGACACCAAGGTCTGGCTCAGGGCAAAAGTCCCTTATTCCAAGCTAGTATTTGGCCTTGTAAACATACTGAAACTGAAGCAAGCAGTCAAAACAGCTGTATTTGGAAGAAACAGATATACATGAAGCAAAACAGACCTCCAGAAGACTACCAGAAAAGCAGAACAAAGCATAAAAGATTAGAATTCCCAAAACTTGTGTAAAGTAACCACAGTCTCATAACGCCAAAGATACACTTGTTTATAACACTGGAAAATAAAAGGTTTGTAATAATCCATTACCTCCACAGGAAGACTGCCTTTACATAAATGAAATGGGAAATAGAAACCATAATCAGTATTTAACAGAACTTCACTTCAACTATTTTGAATGTCTCACACACAAAGATACGCAAATCTCAGCCAATAACTATGCTTAGAAGTTGGCAGAAACAATCATTTAAAAGGAAAATCATCCCGAATATCCAGGTTTTGTTGTACAGCAAGCCTAGTCCAAAAGCAGAGACATGACTGTAGATGTCAGCACCAGACTGGTAATAGAATGGCAACCGCTATTTTAGTGTCCAAAACCAGCAACTAAATATTGGTACCCTGCAACAAACCCTTCTAAGATTATAAAATTCCACCCTACAAGTCTCCATACCAAAATCAGTTGCATTTTTGCAGTGCACTTTACAAAGAAGACCAAAAAAAAAAATATCAAAGAGTAACAGAATGCATTAGCAACATAAAAAGCAGGTTTATCATAATGCTTTCTTTGATCTTTTGTTCAAGCCTCCTTGGGCAAGAAATCTAGACTCCAGAAAGTGAGAAAAATCAAGACAGACTGAATATAAATCATCAGGGCAGGATGGCAGGCCCTGCAAGATACAGACAATCTATTGATGAAGTTTCAGGACAGATCCAACACTACAATACCATCTGACTTCCAAGAATCCTTCTGAAGTTAAATATTCACTTCCACAATCTGAACAAATCATTTGCAGTTTCAATTCTCTTCCTGGGGCAGTCTCAACCAAGCAATTTTTCTTGACTCTGGACAAGAAGGTGAGGATTAAGAAGACTGCAGACATCTGTGTGAACACCACAGAACCATGACTGCCCTTTTATCCTCTCATCAAAGCTACTCAATCAATGATCTATTGCAATGACAGGGTTGGGAAAAGGCTGCAGGACATTGTCTCATGATGGCATGACTACCACACACGTGCAACGAGTCCAGATTTTATTGCTAGGGTAGTAGAGTGACAAGAGCATGAGGAAAAAGCATGGGGAAAAGATCACTGTCAGCTTAGCATGAATTCAATGCATTTCTCTCAAGTGAAGACTTGTCTAAACAACCTCACAACTTTTATTACTGCTTGGAAAGGGAAAAGAGTTTACAAGAGTCAAAAGTTATTAAGGAAAAGTGCTGATTACTCCATGTCTGTACTGCCCCAAGCCAATAATGCTGAACCTCAGCTTATGGATGCTGGGAGGATTACAGTCTCATCTTAACTTATCCTATACTAAATAGGAAGAATATTCACGGCCAGGATTAGATCTCCATCACTGGAAGGAGATAAAACTTGTACTAATTGTATGCTCTCATGTAGCTCTGTGAAAATAAGATTGCTAGGAGTGTCCAGAGGTCAGTGCAAGGACCAGCAAAACCCAACATACACGCTTTCAATTGTTATCTACAGCTCTTCCATTCGCAAAGCTAAGGGAAGAGGCAACTGTGTATTCTTAACTACCTCATTTATAACCAAGTAGCTGCTTGAAACTGCTATTCTGCAATCTACTCAGTAAACCTGTAATTAGGGAAGAACACACCCTAGAGCTACAGAAATTAATCATTTCTCATCATGAGATTAAAACAAAACCTAATCTTAAAGATTAGTATTTTTAAACAACTGTTATAAAAAGGGAGATGAAGGGAAAGACAAAAAGAATAGGTGCTACAAGAACAGACAACACTGTTCTGGGAGAAAGGAGCAACCAGTTTTCAAAAGACTGGAGAGATGAAAAGGTTGGTCACATATCCAGGGAACCTCTAAAAAGA